GGGGGGGGGAGGAGGAAGGATGAGGGAGGGGAAGGGGAGGCAGGACAGGGGAGGATAGAGTATGCGGGAAGGAATAGCACAATTGCTTACCATTTCGCTCACGTAGGAAGACCGGATGTCACAAGCAAGCAACGTATTCTGTTTGCTGAATCCAGTAATCGTCTGAGATTTCATCCGCTTTCAGCGTAAAAGTCCAAGGGCTCGGACATGCTCGCCTGCTCTGCCACGAACACAAGGTGACGCGATGTGAACTCCAGGAGGTCGTCTTTGTTCTGAGAAGATTTCTGTCCGCTTTTGGCCAGTCGTTTGCCTCCCAGCTTGCACAGGAGATGGAGCAAGAATGGATGAACAACAGGAACAACTTCATCAGGCAGTCATGCAGCCATCAGAAGACTTTCTCTTCCTTTCACCAACGAAACAACAAAGAGGACTGGATCCACTCCCAAGACCTCTGGTGGCAACTTCAAGAAGCGGCTCACTGGGATTTCGAGGTTGAAGCATCGTTGACCTTCCCTTCCTCCTCCTGCTTCTTTCATCCCTCTGCTCCTCCACATTCCCACCCCCTTCCTTGAACCTCCCTGCCTTTCTCTCACTCCTTGCTGCCCTTTGGTGTTCCTTCCCAACTTCTCCTGCTTCGTTCTTCCTTCTGCTCCTTCTCGCGCGCTCTCTCGTTCTCTTCCCCCTCCTCCTTCTCGATCCCCTTCATCCCTCTTTCTCACTCTCAATCTCCTCTGCCCCACTCACTGATGCTGGGGCAGGGAGCGATGAACGGCTGCTCCTTTTCTGAGCCGAACTCGATCACCAACTACGTGTGGATGCATCCCGAGAGCATGTGGAGACCCACGTGGGACGCGGGAAAGACGCAGGAGGAGGAGGAGGAGGAGGAGGAAGAGGAGGAGAAGGTGGTGGGGAGTGATGAAATCTTGTTTCAGGTCTCTAACTTTAAATTCGTGCTGTTAATTTACAATTTACACTCTTGGCAGGGAAGGCAATCGGACGAAAAGCTTCCTCTTTTGCTACATCCTCCTCCTCCCCCTTCTGCTGTGGTGCAAGAGGAGTGGGAATTGCCTTTGAGGTGACTTAAAGCTGCCGAGGAGGCGAGGTGGAGAAGGAAGACTTGACGAGGAAGAGGAAGAAGAGACAAGAGAGACAAGGGGAATGGGAAGAATAGAGGAGGAGGAATAGAGGAGGAAGAATAATGGAGGAGGAGGAGGAGGAGAAGGAGAAGGAGGAGGTGCGTGAATTCAAACGCCCTGACAGACCCTGAAGGAAATCATCAGATGAAAGGATAGACAGACAAGAGAGGTCTGCGAGGAGGGAAGAAGCGAAGGAAGGAGGGAGGAGGAGGAGGAGGAGGAGGAGGAGGAGGAGGAGGAGGAGAATGAAGAACAGGGGCACCAGGGAGTGAAACGAGAAATCTCATCTTCGCGCTGCAGAAACTGAATAAAACATTTCAGTCCTCTCCTTACATGCCATTTCATCCTCGTCGTTGACATCACCATCACCATCATCATCATCATCATCATCATCATCATAAGCAGTAGCAGCATCCTTTTCATCAGCATCAGCAAACTCATCCTCCTCATCATCATGGTTCAAACCTGCCAACTCCCGAAATGAACAAACAGAGTCTCTTTCTCCATGCATCTAGTTGGCGTTATGGCGAGGAGCCAGCGAGTCGGAGAAGATAAGAAGAGGGGAGGATACAAGAAGAGACGAGAGAGAGAGAGGAGGTCGAGGAGAGACGAGGGGGAGAGATGGAGGAGAATGGACCGGGTTTGCGAGCAAGGAGAGAAATCTTCGAGCCCATCGCTGCGTCAAAGTCATGCAAAGAATTATAGCGAAGGGGAGAGAAGAGGGCTAAAAGCAGAGCAGGAGGAGCAGGAGGAGCAGGAGGAGCAGGAGGAGCAGGAGCAGGAGCAGGAGCAGAGAGGAGGAGGAGGAGGAGCAGGAGCAGGAGCAGGAGCAGGAGCAGGAGCAGGAGCAGGAGCAGGAGCAGGAGCAGGAGCAGGAGCAGGAGCAGGAGCAGGAGGAGATGATGATGATGATGATGATGATGATGACCTCTTGATCTTCATCCGATCCAAGTCGGAGATGCACCAATCTCGCTTGTTGCCAACAAGATGCGGAAGACAAGGGCAGGAGAGGATGATGTTGTTGTGCTGACCTGACGCACACCAGGAGGCAGAAATGTCCACCTCCTCCACAGCAGACATGTCGAGGTCCTGTTTGCACCGATCAAGAAGACAAAAAGAAGGGCAGAGGAACGACAGGAGACAAGGGGGGGCGAGGGAAGACGATGGAGGGTAGCAGGAGAAGAGCAGAGCAGAGCAGAGCAGAGCAGAGCAGAGCAGAGCAGAGCAGAGCAGAGCAGGGGATGTGAGGAGCTGTTGGAGGAGGGAGAAGGAGGCGAGGGAATGCAGGCAGAGGCTAGCGGTAACCTGCTCCCCTATCGCATCCTTCCAGCATTGATCCTGCTTTGAGTCGACACGCGAACATTCGCCGCGGTAGTTGAGGAGACCCCGAGCAGCAAACACGGTGAGGATGGCATCCTGCTGCTGCTATGAGACGATGGAGACAAGGAGGAGCAGGAGCAGAAGCAAGGGCAGGAGCGGGAGTACGAGCAGGGGGAGGCAAGAGACAAGAGGTAGGAGCAGGAGCAGGAGATACAAGAGTTCAAGGGAAAGGTGGGTGAGAGGAAGGGTTCCTGGAGGGAGGTTTGGTCGGTAGAATGTCTTTCTTGCCAGGCATGATCGAGCAACTGGTCAATGAAGAGACTTTTCCTGCTGAAAGTCATGGAGGTCGCAGGGGCAAGGAAAATCACCGCATGATGACGAAATCTGCTATCAAGAAGCGAGGAGGATACTGTCGGCGAGATGTCAGGTGTATCTCTTGCGTGGAGATCGAGACGAGGAGGGGAGGAGTGAAATATACGAGATGGTGTTGATTTGCGCTGATCTGCAATCTTGAGAAGAACATTTACCGCAGATGTCGCCGCGATGAATTTCTTTGATTGCGGCCAACAGTCAGTGAAGGGGACACAAGTTCGACTGCCATGGAAAGAGAACAAGAGAATTAGCTGAGAAGAAGTGAGAAGACAAAGAGAAATCAAGAGAGCTAAGTAGTTAAAAACCATCATTCATCCATCAATCAAATATCAAGATCGTAACAATGACAGCCACAACAAGGTTGGAATAATTAGACAACCAAATTTGATGGAGACATCAACAATGGCAGCCATGTAGCAAGTAGGAGACGATAGAACAAAACGACATAGCAACGACAAGTAGGATGAAAGTTCTGTTCGTCTTGTTTGCTTACTCATGTCTACGAGGAGAAAAAGGTCCGTAACCATCCATGTCAGCCCAGACAACAGTCTCGTAATGGCTCAGAGCAACCTTCGAAATGCGATTATAAAGAAATTCTTGATGTTTGCTACAAGAATTCACTTTCATCGACGGAGGTTTCAGAAAGTAACCATTGCGACCGGGAAGCTACAAAATCGTCAACGAGGTCAAGATGATGGTGCTGATGATGTTGATGATGCTAAGAAGAATTGCGAAATTCACCATGTCGGTTGTAGCTATGGAGAAAAGAAAATCCATCTTCTCTCTACGAGCGAAACAAAACCTGCAAGTACAATGAGGGGCAAAAGCGGAAAAGATAGCCTTGAACTTGTTGAGAATGATTGGAATCAATTTCTTCACATTCCACTGAGACAACCCATGTAGATTCACACTGTTGATTGGACCGACACCTGATACTGAGCCTTACATGTGGTCTTGCAATAAACCAAGCAAACCTGAGAGGATTGCGGCTCTCTTTTGCTCACTGCCTTCACATTCAGTTGTGAAGTCCTTAGAACATTCCTTGACACCATCTCCAGCGACATCTACAACTCTGGCAAAATTGCGAGATCAATCTCAACAACCATCTGCAGTGAGAGAGGAAAATCTCCCTCACCGATATAGAAAACATCTCCTTGTAACCAACTGGTGAAGAGGTACAGGTGACGAACCCTACCAGGACGATCACGGTCAGACAAGAGCTTTCAAAGAGAACATTCACACATTCTCAGAGAAACCGACGAAAATGTCCTCAACACGGGTGTCGTCTCCTCTCAGGGAATAGAAGGCATTGCTTGTGTTCAACCACAGCAGGCATTTCCGCAATGGATATGACCAACCCCCCCATGTCAAGTTGTCCGTCGACTGGAACACCTCACTCCCATACATCTCATCCACTCCTGCAGACAAGTCAAATCTTCTCACCATCAACAAAGCACGACATGCAGAGTACAAAGACATGATCAACCTTGCGAGTACTCGCCCAAGAACGATTGCCCGTCTCTCCCCACAGTGAACTTGAAAAGATGCCTCAGGCGTGAAAGGAACACAGAGACATCCTCACAGGAGCTGGCTTCCACCCTTGATACTCTGGGAATGCATGGACATGTATCTCGATGCTCTTGTTTGCAAGCAATCAGTAAGTGAGAAACTCGGACTCCTCGCACCTTCATAGCTACTACTTCGTCTCCGTCAAAGATCCTGATCGCTCACTATTTACACGTGACGGTAAAGGACATACTTCTACGGACCTGTAGATCAATTCGTAGTCTCCTTCTTCCTTCTCGAAGATCATGTTTTTCAGCTCCATGGTATCCTGGCCTCCTCTAGGACTTCAATCGCATTGACGAAAACTGAACAAATCACCTTGCGCATCGATGTACATGTGATTTGCAGTCCATTCAAGATATCCGAAAGGATTCAACCTCGACGACATGGTCTATGCGTTCATCCTGTTATACTGGTCTGCATCAAACATCGCTGACCTCCCATCGAAGAATCCTTCCCGGACTTGGAACAAACAAGATACGAATGCTTGAAGTGGATCACTGGAACGAAGTGGAGAAAGAAAGGGACAAGTCAACCTCGTGGCGATGGTAGCCATGCTGTAAAGTTCCTGCCCGTCCCATGGCGCTAAGATCTGTATGATCGCCAGCATCACTCCCTCGCGCACTGCGACCGGTCGCAACGGGGAGGAAAAGAATGGAACGTGTAGGGGTTTGCACTCAAAGGAAGCAAGAGAGAAACGGCATGCAATTTCTGTCCTTCATGCCTTGTGTGTCTCTTCCTCCTGCTCACCTGCAGCTGAACCTCCTCCGCTCCTCCCATCGCCACCATCGCCACCATCGCTGTCACCAACAACCACCATGCCTCCATTCCTCACGACAATCCCCCCCGGTTTACTGTATTTTAGTAGGAGACTCTAGTACTATAAAACTTTTCCCCGAATTTTGAAAGAGCGTCAAAATGCAAGCAACGGGAGCAGGCGGAGATTTCTGGACAGGAGCAGGCGCGGGTAGAGCACATGGAAGGGGACGAAGGGTTGACGCAGGAGCGGGAGCAGAAGCGGGAGCAGGAGCGGGAGCGGGAGCAGGAGCGGGAGCGGGAGCAGGAGCGGGAGCAGGAGCAGGAGCAGGAGCAGGAGCAGGAGCAGGAGCAGGAGCAGGAGCAGGAGCAGGATGCAATGAGCTAACACAGAAAGTTATGAGCTCACAAACAGGGATGACGAACACAATTGAAGGAGCGATCACTCCAGCACAAGGGGGACGAGCAACAACGGCAGTTACAAGAGAGGCTGCAGTCGATGGCGGTGAATGGCGGGTAGTCGAGATCCCTGCTGGTCTTCCAACAGGAGGAGAAGGTGGAGGAGAAGGAGCTAGAGGAGAAGCTGTAAGAGCAAGAGCAGACGAAGAGGAGGGAGAAAGGGGAGGCGGAGCAACGGGATCAAGCACAGAAACGTTCGGCCCATCACATCCCGTGTTTGAAGTGATCGCTGTCATGAGCCCTCTTCCTCCTGACGTCCTGGACGGGAGGGGGAGGAGAAGTGACATGTGCGTCTTCATCGAGAGCCCCAGAACTATCCACGTCTTCCCGCATGACGGCTGCAAGGCGATGATGCAGTACGACAAGTCGGAGCAGGCGGCATACCACAAGGTGGATAGGAAAGTGAATATCAGGGGAGGAGGAATCTTTACGAGGTCGATAGTGGGTCGTTTGAAGGATGAAGGGAGGAAAAAGCGTGTCGAGAAGAGTCTTCATAGGGCCATTCATGGCGACTGAAGAGGCTCGTGGGCCGAGTTTACAAGCAACACATAAACAATAGAGTTCGACTTTGGACATGCGCTATGTTACAACTGCTCCCCCAGGTATCTCAGCGTTGCAGCGCAACCTCTGGTGATGATGGAGCTGAGAGGGGCCTGTACAAGTCAAGTGTCAAAGATGTCGGGCAGCTCGCGATCTCCGTCACCTTGAAGAAGTTGGCGGTGACGACCAGGTTCTTCAGTGATCCCTTGGGGGGAAGGAGTTTCCCTGCGAAGTCTTAATGGAGGAGGCGCGAGCGCGGAAGGAGAGGGGAAGGAGAGCAAAGGGAAAAAGGAGCAACGAGGAGGAAGGGAGGGAGGGAGGGAGGGAGGAGAAAAGGCCCACCGAGTTCAGCCGGGAGAACAGCAAGTTGATTGTGCGTTAAATGAAGTTCCTGCTCGATCGTCATTCATCACCTTGTGTTCCCTTATCCACTCCTCCTCCTCATCATCATCATCACCATCACCACCTCCACCACCACCACCACCCCTCATCTCTCTCCTCCTCATCATCATCGTTAACTCCTCATCCTCCTCAACATCGTCATCATCATCATTCTCGTCTTCGTCCTCATCATCACCTCCAGCTTCGTCAAGGCCCCCACGTCCGGCGGGACCGTATCGAGCATGTTGTAGGAGAGTTTGAGTCGCCGGAGACTGACGAAGCTGTCAGCAGCAAGACGAAGGAAAGAGAAGATAGGACGAGAGGGAAGGAGGCAGGCAGGAGGAGGGCGAAGAGAAGAGGGAGGAGAGAAGTGCGAGCGAAGAGAAGAGGGAGGAGAGAAGTGAAGAAGGGGAGGCAGAGGGCAGGGGAGAGGAGCAGGGAGTCGGGCCCACCTGGTGTTCTGTCCGATGGCACGGGGGAGGACGGAGATCTCGTTGTAGGAGAGCTCGAGTTCCTCAAGCTTTCCAAGCTGCGGGAAGGGGAGTGAGGAAGAGGAGGAAGAGAAGGAGGACAGAGAGAGGAGTGAGAGCGGGGAGGAGGATAGCAAGAGGGGTGAAGAGGAGGAGGAGGAGGAGGAGGAGGGGCAGGGAGAGGAGGTGGGAAGCGGAGGAAGAGATTGGGAGGGGAGGCAAGATCACCCGAGCGAGAGCAGGAGGGAGTCCTGCGATCTGATTCTGATTCATGCGGAGATCCCGCAACTGTTGCGGAGAATGAGAAAATTGACCGGAAAGGACAGCGAGAGAGGGTGGAAAAGGAGTAGGGGAGAAGATAAGTCGAAGTGAAGGAGACTGTGAGGAGGAGCGGGAGCAGGAGCGGCAGCATCAGGAGCAGGAGCAGGAGCAGGAGCAGGAGCAGGAGCAGGGGAAGGATGGTGTATCCAGAAATTGAAGTGTTGCAGGGTTTTACCTCAGTTATGACACAAAGACAAGCTGGAATTTCTCTGAAATTGTTTCCATCGAGATTGACAAACCGAAGCGACTGAAACGAGGGTGAGAAAGAGCCATCACACAACATCATCAACAGCAACAGCAATTCCTCCTTATTGCTGAAGGAAGAGTGTAAGGAGGAGTGTAAAAGGGAGGAGGAGGAGGAGGAGGAGCAGCAGCAGCAGCAGCAATTATCAACAATCGTCATCGCAATGTTCCACACCTGAATGATCGAGACTGTATCCGGAAGCTCTGAGAGGTGGTTGAAAGGAACATGAAGCCTTTCAAGATTTTCTGAAGAATTGTTCGTCAGACAGTAATCAGCATCATAAAATCTCCCAGAACAATCTCAACAATCATCAGATGTCTCAACTCTACAAGTTGTAACCTACTGCTCTCATCTCACCATCTCGCAGATCTTCGAGTGGATTGAGAGCATCCGGTTGTAACCCGCCATGAGCTCCACCAGGGTTGTGAGATCGCAGACTTCGACAGGCTGCAAAAGAAACTTCAACAAGCACATCTTGACAACACCAACATTGCTCTGCAAGCAAACAAGACACCAAGACAAGAAGACAACTTCTTGACGCAACGACATCGATCGCTCTCAAGTCTCACCATCTCTGTAAGGATGTTGTCGAGCAGGTTGAGCCTCTTCAATGACGCATACTGCTCCAGCTGTCACGCTCATCGTCGTCTCTCCTCTCCTCCTCCTCCTCCTCACCTGCCCTTCCTTGGTATTCATCACAAGCTCTGGCGGCCAATCCTCCAACCCTAGACTGCTGAGATCCAGCCTGCCAGGGGATAAGAGAAGAGCAGAGCAGTGAAGAGAGAATACAAGGGAAGAGCAAAGAATATAAGAGAACAGGAAACAAGACAACACAATACAGTGCAATGCAAGAGGGACGAGAAGAGGCTAGCTAAGGCGGATCACCTTCCCCCTCCTCTGGCTTCTCGAAGTCTTCCCAGCCATTCCTTGACGATACTAACGCCCTTCGAAAGGATCTGGAACATCTTCAACAACGTAGAAATGCTGAACCCTCCTCCTGCTCCTCCTGCTCCTCCTGCTCCTCCTCCCCTTCTTTTCATCTTTCTGCTCAGATGGTTCACCTGCTTCGGCGGCGAGAGGAGGATGACGTCATCCAAGTCGAGCATCTGCAGGGACGCGCAGTCTGCGAGGCCGAAAGGAAGAGACTGCAAGCCTGCAGGGCAACAGAATCAGAAGACAGGTCAGAGTGAAGGAGAGGAGGGGAGCAGGGGGGAGGAGGGGAGGGCAGGAGAGAGGAAAGAGGAGGGGAGAAAGGAGAGGAAAGAGGAGAGAAGGGGAGAGGAGAGGAGAGGAGGGGAGGAGAGGGATAGGAGAGGAGAGGAGAGGAGAGGAGAGGAGAGGAGAGGAGAGGAGAGGAGAGGAGAGGAGGGAGGAGAGGAGAGGAGGGGAGGAGAGGGATAGGAGAGGAGAGGAGAGGAGTGGAGTGGAGGGATAGGAAAGGAGAGGAGAGGAAGACCGGTTTTGTCAAGACGCAGGACTCGGAGAGCTCGGAGGTTGCCGATCCAGTCAGGGAGTTGGTGGATGGGGTTGGAGCCAAGTCGGAGCTCCTCGAGATGTGCCATTCGCCCGATATGAGGAGGAACAGCACGCAAGTTCATTCCTGCGATAGAGAGAGATGAGGAGGAAGATGAAAGTAGATGGATGAGAAGAGAGATGATGAAAAGAGAGAAGATATGAAGAAGATTGTCAAAGTGTGAAGAAGATTATCATGAGAGAAGGGGTATTGACCAACGAGAAGATGTCATTGGATGTGAACTCATGTTAGAAAACGTCTTTGGTCATGTGAGAAACGAGAAGGCAGATGGTACACGTGATGAACGAGGAAGAAGGAAGGAAAAGAGTTCAGTAGGAGAAATTACCTGAAAGATCAAGACATTTCGTCTTGAGGGTTGCATGACATATCTCGAGGTATCGCAAGAGAGCAGTTGATCCTTCATTCAAGATCTTTGTTCGAAGAACTCAGTCTGGACGCTGTCGAACAAGTTTCATTGTTTCACCTCTGATGGTAGTTGAGAGAGTTCATACTCATCATAGAGAAAGACCTGAACAAACAAGCAGGTCAACAGATCGATTCACAAACAATGGTGTTCTCACTTTAAGGGAGGAAGACAACAACCCCAGGCCAGAAGGCAAGACTGAGATCATGTTGCCGCGAACATCAAGAGATTTCAAGTTTGTAAGCTTCTCCATGTTGTCAGGTGTGCAAACATGGCCTGCAAGGAAAATTTCTCCACTCAGTACATCGTTCGCAGATTCAGACCAAGATATTTGTGTATGGCATGTTTACACGAGATTTGTTGAGAATGAGTTTCACCTGGGAGTGCGGTGAGATTATTGTTCGATACATCTAATACTGCAAGCTGATACAGATCACAAACTTCATCTGCAATGGCCTGATCGTACTGTCAGACACAGACACGGCCTGATGTTTAAGACCTGCAACCCGTTGTCCGAGAAATGGAGCTCCCTGACGTTTTCAAGCTTTCGGATATCCGAATCCAACACCAGGATGTTGTTCTCTGAAAAGTCGAGCCATGTGATTGTCGTCAGAGTGCAAACTGACGATGGGACGTTGACGAATTTGTTTGCTCGCAGATTCAGACATGTAAGGTTCGTCTGCGCACATGTTGAGAAAATACGAACTGTGACAGACAGGAGTTGTACCAGGTAGACGAAGGTGAAGGGAAGGGAGGACAAGAGGTTGGAAGGGAGGAGAAGGGATGTAAGGTTTGTCAAGAGCCGGATGCTCTCAGGTAAAGATGTCAACTTGTTGCTTCCCAGCCGAAGATCCCTTGTAAAGCTCAAATCCCGGAGATTCGGCAGCTGACAATGTTTCAGAGAAGGTGAGCAAAGCATTATAGGAGAGGAGAGGAGAGGAGAGGAGAGGAGAGGAGAGGAGAGGAGAGGAGAGGGACAAATTGAAAGGAAGCGGAGGAGGAGGAGGAGGCAAACACGGAGACGGAGGAGAAAAACAACAAGGAGGAGAACAAGGAGCAGGAGGAGCAGGAGGAGCAGCATAGCGTACCTCTTGCATCAAGTTGTCGCTCAAGTCCATGGTGTGCATTGATGGGCCCGCAAGCTGCTGAATGGCAAGAGGGAGGGCAGACATGTAGCAACTCTTCATGTCGAGGATCCCAGTCTGCGCCAGAAAATGTCAGATGGCATGATTGATATCATGAGGAGGAGGAAGAGGAGGATTGTATTGTGATGACGATGATGATGATGATGATGATGATGATGATGATGAAGAAGAAGAAGAAGAAGAAGAAGAAGAAGTATTGATAGTGGTGAGAAGGTTATCCGACTCACTCTCTTGCCGTGATATTGGGCCCCGAGGTACTTCAACACAACGTGACAGCCTATGAAGTATATGACCATCTTTGCGTGTCTTGGTTCAACATTCAACCTTTCTCGCGGACCTCGATCGGAGGATCTTCAAGATTGTTGAGAGACAACTTGAGCTCTTCTAGCGGACACAGGCAGAGCTCCAGAGGAAGCTGAAGAGTAAGAGATGATCAGCAAGGAGTGAAGCGAGATGTGAGGAGATGGGAGAAGAAGAGGAGCAGAGGAAAATAAAGGGGAGTAGGAGAAGAGGAAGAGGTAGAAGTGGCTGTGGTGTGGGAGGAGGAGGAAAAGGAGAATACTCTGCGCAACAAGTTGGACTCGACGTCAAGATGCTTCAGTCTATGGAGCAAACTGATCTGAAAGATGAAGGTTTCAAAACAAAGCATGAAAGAATGAAGAAACAAAATGAGAAGCATTCTCTTACCTCAGGAGGAAGTTCTGAGATGTCGTTTCGACAGACAGACAAATGATTAATATAACTCATCCGTAGCACGTACGCCGGGATCTGAAGGTAACAATCAATAAGCTCAAACGGGTTCAAAACTTGAAACAGCAGCAAAACACGCATACGCAAGGAATAGAGTGATGGTGGGCAACAAAACATCCCGAATCAGTCAGCAAGTGATTTTAACAAGAAGAAACCTGCAAGAGATGAAACCCTTCCAAGATTAGCTTGTTTGTCTTGCCGTCCCATATCCCTGGTACATCCTCCATTCCAGGAGGAGGAGAGGCGAGAAAGAGCTGCTTGAGGTACCGCAGCATGACTCCTGCTCCAGCACTCTCGATCTCCTGGGGGATCGAACCGAACGGGTTGTCATGGAACTCAAAGTTGTTGAGCTTCTCGCACATGCCCAACCCGGTCGGCAGCATGTTGAGTTTGTTGTTTGAAATGTCAAGGACTGTCAGGTGCGTCAGGTTCCAGAACGTCTCCGGAAGCTTCTCCAAGAGATTCGAGCCGAGGTTGAGGAAAGTGATACTGTACATGTTCCCAAACAGGTCAGGAAGAGTGACCAAGTTGTTGTTCTCGAGATTGAGACGCTGGAGGAGGTGGAGTTGGCCTATGTTCGGGGAGACTTGTTCCAACTTGTTGTGGCTGATCCTCAGGTCTAGGAGGGTTGTGATCCTGCAGATTGAAGGAGAGATCTCTGTGAAGTTGTTCTCAACGAGGTTGATGTACTCAAGGTTGCGCAGGTCGCTGAGGGTTGACGGGATGTCGGAAAGCTGGTTGAACGGCAGATGCAACTTACGTAGGTCTACCAGCTTGTCGATGTTGGGGTGAATCCCTTTGAGACGGTTATGGGCGATGAGGAGGTTTTGTAACGCCGGGTGGTTGCCGATGCTCTTGTCGAGGCTCTCGATCAGGTTGTCACCCACGTCGATAGTTGTGAGCTCGGGGTATAGCTGGGCCTCGATCGGGAACTTGGTCAGCATCATGCTCGTCAGCTGGAGCTTGCACGTCTGCATGCCTTGGTATAACCTTCGAAGATAGTCCATGATCGACCCGAAGCCTTTGTCGCAGATCTCGGGAGGAGGAGAGCGGATGGGGTTGCCGTCGAGCTGGAGGGAGGTCATGCTGGATATGTTGGAGACCTCAGGAGGAATGGCGACTAGCTTGTTGCCAGTGAGATCAAAAGTTTGCAATGATGACAACTCCCCTACGGTCTCGGCAATGAACTCCAGCTGGTTTTGAGCTGCAGAGAAGACTTGCAGGCTGGCAAGAGAGCTGATCCACGGCTTGATCTCACGAAGCTCGTTCTGATCCACGTGCAGGACCTTGAGGGAGCCAAGGTTGCTGATCGTGCCAGGAAGGTCTCTCAAGAAGTTCGATGACAAGTGCAGCTCAACAAGAGACGTGAAGGTGATTCCTATCATGGGATCGAGATCTTTCAGCCTGTTCTGCGTTGCAGAGAGGACCTGAAGGCTGTCGAGGGTGAGAGCCTGAGGGTCGAAGAGGTCTGGATCACTGAAGAACATGTCGAACCCGTCGAGGAGCAGCTCGCCCGATCGCTGCGACTTGTCGAGGTTGAGGAGATACTTCAACATCCTCTTCGTGCCGAGATTGACGACGGAGATCGGAGGGCTGCGGAGAGGACACATGCTGACGTCACACTGCTCGAGCGACTCCAGCAGGCCCAGAGCTGAAGGGAGGAACTCGAGGCTGCGATTCTCGTCGAGGGAGAGGAGCTTCAGGCTTGTCAGGCGTGATATGGCGCTGTCGATCTCCCGCAGCTCGTTATGAGCCACCCGAAGAGTTTCCAAGGAGTAGAGGAAGAAGATGCACTCGGGGATGTCAGCGAGCTGATTGTGGTCGAGGTTGACAAGGGTCAAGTTTGACAAGGACGTCAACGAGATGTCAAGAGTCTGCAGACAGTTGTGGTGTAGCAGGAGCGACTTCAGGGATGACTGTCTCAGGATGTAGTCCGGGAGTTTTGGGTCTTGGAGGCCTGACTCAGATATGTCGCAGATATCGTGCTGCTGCAGGTCAAAAATCCTCCTGAGGTAGTTGAGGAAATTCTTGACGCCTTTCTTCACGACCTCCACCGGAGGGACCGTGAGGGGGTTGCCCTTCACGCGCACGTCATGGAGGGAGAGGACGGCACCGAGCTCAGGAGGCAGCTCTCGGATGTTGTTGTCCTCGATGTTGAGGAGAGAGAGCTTCTCGAAGGCAGAGACGGAGCTCGGGAGGGAGAGGAGACTGTTCTTCCTCAGCGACAGGGAGACGAGATTGCGGAGGAGGCCCAAGTCAGGCGGAAGCTCCTTCAGCTCGTTCTCGTCCATGTGAAGATCTTTCAGGCTGGTCATGCACAAAAGGGACCTTGGGATCTCAGTGATCTTGTTGGCAGACAGGTCGAGGCTCGTGATGTCGGGCTTCTCCAGCACAACCTTTGGGATGCTGAGCAGGTGCATCTTCTTGAGATCGATCACGTGGGTCCGATCTGCGTTGAGAATGTTGGACAGGAACCGGACGACGAGCTGGGCTCCTGCTGAGCAGACCTCCATCGGGGGGGTCACCATCTCGTTCCCGCTGACGTCAAAGTGCGTCAAGTTCTTGAGGTGGCCGAAGGTGAGGGGGAGGAAGGTAAGTCGGTTGTTGGTCGCAGAGAACTGTTCAAGGTTGACCAGCCGGCTGAGCTCGTCAGGCAGCTGCTCGAGGGAGTTGTTGTCGAGGTTCAACGACTTGATCATGGTGAGTTGACAGTGCTTGACAGGAAACTTGACGAGAGAAAGATCGCTGAGGTCCAGAGACAACTTGACCTTAGCCTGGTGGACTGCAGAGAGGTACTGAAAGATCTTGTTGCGCCCTTGGGAGTTGATCTCATAGGGAGGGTCTTCGAGAGGGTTCATGGTGATGTCCAACTCCTGCAGATGGGTGAAGCGGAGGAGGATCGGGTGGAGCTCTTTCAGCAGGTTGTCGCAAAGGTTCAGACGAACTAGGGGAATGTGCGGGTGCAGCCACTCTTCTATCCTCTTCACCCTGTTGTGAGAAAGAGAGAGGATCGTCAGGTTGGTCAAGTTCGACACGCTGCGAGGGATTGAGGCCAGCTCGTTGTAGTCCAGATGCATCTCTGTGAGCAGGGTGAGCTGTCCGATCCCAACGAACAACTTCTGAAGATGGTTGTTGCTCAAAGACAGGGATGTCAGCCCTGTCATGAAGGCGACTTCAACTGGCATCCTCTTCAGCTCGAGGTTGCGGAGATCCAAACTTTGCGTCTTCCTCCCATCCTGCATCCTCTTTAGGTACTCGAGGATGGAGCTCGTCCCTCTGTCCAGGACCTCCACGGGAGGAGATCGGAGCTCGTTGCCCGCAAACAGCAGCTCCCGGATGGTGTACAACGAGCCCAGCTCCAGGGGAAGGAACAGAAGATTGTTGCGTTCAAGGTTCAAGATCTCCACTCCCACAAGCTGCTCAATCTCCGGAGGAAGAGACTCGAGATGATTGTCGCTGAGATCGAGCACCGTCAGCGATTCCATGTTGACAATCTCCAGCGGAAAGTTGTTGAGCTCCATGTTGGAGAGGTCCAGCTTCCTTGTTTGCAGAGACTCCTCGAAGCGACTGAGGTACCTCAGGATGGAGCTGGTGCCCGGACGAAGAACTTCAGGAGGCGGAGAGACGAGAGGGTTGTTGTCGACGACCAGCTTGCTCAAAGTCGGGATCTTGGAAAGGGAATAGGGAAGGCTGGGAAAGAGGTTGTTTGACAGAGAGAGGGTTGAGAGACTTGTGCATTTGTCGATCCCCGCGTATAAGACTTCAAGCTTGTTGCCGTGCAGGTAAAGCTCTCGGATGTTGACGAGCTTCGCCATGTAGGGGGGAAGAGCTGAGAGAAGATTGTCTGAGAGGTTGAGGACCTGCCCGAGATTCAACAGCTGAAAAAGAGGAAGAGGAAGAGGAAATGGAGAAGAGCGAAGAAGAGAGAAGAAAGAAGACAAACAAGAGGATGAAGAAGAGGGAAGAAGAAAAGAGAAAAAGAGGAAGAGAAAAGCGGAAAAGAGGGAAGAAGAAAAGAGGAAGAGGAAGAGAAAAGAGGAATAGAGGAATAGAGGAAGAGGATAGTTCAGGAGCGAGGGTTGTGCGCTGCTCACTTTCATCTGCCGCATGTTTCCGATCGTAGAAGGAAGTTCAGCAATCATGTTCCCGCTGAGATCAAGAAACTCCAGCCGCTGCCAAGCCCCCATCACCGCGCTCATCCTGCTCAGCTTGTTCTTGCTCAGGTCCAGCTTGGTCATGGCGGTCAGCGCGCCCATGCTTGAGGGGAGAGTTTCCAGCTGGTTGCCCGCCAGGCAGACGCTAATCAGCCTCCCCTGCTGGGGAACAGGGCGGGTAGGGGTGGAGACCAGCTCGGGGGGGAAGGAGAAGAGTTTGAACGCAGGAAGAGTGAGGTGGAAGGTCGAGAGCGCCAGGTTGACCTGCTGCAAGTAGCGGATGATCGTGCTGCAGCCCTGCTGGAGGATCTCGACCGAAGGCTCTTCCATATTCTTTTCGTCAAAGTTGAGGACCGTGAGGAGGGAAAGAGCGCCTATGCTAGGATGCAAGCTCGTGATGGGGTTGCTCCTCAGCTGAAGGGTCTGCAGACTGGTGCAGCTGGAAATCTGCTGGGGAAAAACAGAGACGAAGTTCCTTTCGAAGGACAGAGATTGGAGGTTGGTCAACGAGCCCAGCTGATCTGGAAGCACCTCGATCTCGTTCTCGTCGAGGTTGAGGTGGTGGAGGGTGTCAGCGAGCTGAAAAATGTCGGCCGGTACCTCAACGATCTTGTTGTGGGATATCGACACACCTGTATGACAGGTGAGGGGCTGCTGGGGTCATCCAGAGCTAGTCAAGCTGGTCAAACTCACCTGTCAGGGCCTCGGAGCGCAGGCACTGGAAGTGAGAGTGGAACCTGAAGACGTCTGCTGGGAACTTCTCAAGTTTGAGGCCCTCGAGCTTCAGGTACCTGCTGGAGGAAGCATAGCCGAACTGCCGTAGATAGTTGAGGATGATACTCTTTCCCTGCTCGACAATCTCCTGGGGAGGAGTAGACCAAGTCTGCTCGTTGCCGGACAAGTCGATGTCCTGCAGGGATGTGCATATCCCCAAGGTGAGAGGGATTTCCGACAAGTGGTTGTCGTTGAGGTACAGCTTGCAGAGGGCTGGAAGCACGCCGCTCTCAGGCGGTATGATTCTGAGCCGGTTCCTCTGCAGGGAGAGAAAGGTCAGGGAGCTGAGAACCATCATCTCTGCTGGAAGCGACTCGATCTCGTTGTCGTCGAGGACGAGGGAGTGTAGCTTCGGGATTGTCAGCGTCTCAGCCGGGAAGTAGCGGATGTGACAGCTGGACATCTCGAGGCCGTGAGAGAGGGCGGAGTGATACATCTTGTGGAAGTACATGATCACTCCGTCGTTGCCCTGCGAAAGAACATCATCCTGCGGACTCTTCAGCGGGTTGCCCTCGTAGTTGAGGTTGCGTAGCTTGGTGAGGTTCCCAAGGGAGAGGGGGAGGATGGAGACTTGGTTGGAGTTGAAGGAGAGGTCCTCCAGGTTTGTCAGGAGCTCCAGCTCGAGAGGAAGTTGTGAGATGAGATTGTGGCTGCAACGAAGTCGGACGAGCGTTTGACATCTCCCGATCTCCTGTGGAATTTTCTGCAGCCTGTTGAAGCTGAGCCGCATCTCTTCGATGCTGTGGAGGTTCCCGATGGAGGAAGGGATCCAGCCGATCTTGTTCTTCGTTACTGACAGCTCCTTGAGGTTCTTGAGCTTCCCGATCGCCTCCGGGAGAACATGCAGACTGTTGCTGTCAAAGTTGACCTTAGTGAGAGATGTCAAGGTACAGAGCTGATCGGGGAGCGACGTTAGCCGGTTCTGAACAGCCGATATCGTTCGAAGCTTCGAGAGCTTCCCGATGAAAGTGGGAATCTCGTCGATGAGAGTGTTGTCTAGCCTGAGCACTCGGAGCTGGTTCAGAGTCTGAATGATGTCCGACAACGCCATGAGCGGGTTGTGGGAGAGATGAAGCTCGTGGAGGTCTCGTAGCACGGTGATCTGTTCAGGCAGGACCTGGATGGAGTTGTACTGCAGCTGCAGCACCTTCAGCTTCTTCAGCTGGCAGATTTCCATCGGGAAAGTTTGAAACTTGTACCCTGGCAGCTCGAGCTTGTCCACTGTCCCCTCCACGTTTGAGAACTTGGAGCAGTACACGCACGCAGCCTTTGCTCCTTTCCTCAACACCTCCACAGGAGGCTGATAGAAATTCTCCACGTCGATCTCCAGCTTCTCCAACGATGTCCAGTAGGCGATAGTCATTGGAAGACGAGAGATCTTGTCGTTGCTCTTGATATTCAGCCGTTTCAACTTGATCCAGGCGCTGATCCACAAGTCAGCAAAGAAGGGCCCTTCTAGACGGTTGTCACTCAGGTTGACATCGGTCAACGACGTGCAGTTCTCCAGGGCTCTAGGGAGGCGCACGATGTCGTTGGACTGAAGTTGGAGGTTTTGCAAGCTGTCCAGCCTGCTGAATTCTTCAGGTAGATTTCGGATCCTGTTGGCGGAGAGGTCCAACAGCGTCAGCCCTTCAATGTCCATGATTGCCAGGTCGACGGAAGGGACGTCAATCTCGCTGAAGTGAACCGATTTGGACGTTCTTGCCTCAAGAAGCACAGCAAGGTACGCAGTGATACTCTTGGAGCCAAGTTGCACAATCTGAGGAGGCGGGGATTCCACGTCGGTACCCTCGAGGATGATTTCAGTCAGATTCCTCAACGATCCTGTCTCAGGGCTGAACCTCTTCAGGCTCACGCAGTTGCTGACATCCAACTGAGTCAGGGAGCGCATGTACCGGATGGACGCGCTCAAAGCCGCCATCCTGTTGCCCGCAAGGTTCAAGACAGTCACTGACGTCATGTTGGTGATCTCAAGGGGGAGAGTGGAGGCTGTGATCCCCATGCTGCTCAGGTCGATCATGTTGGTCTCCTCGATCCAACTCATCCTCCTCCGATACTCTCTCAGGTACAGGAAGACGCTCTGCACCCCCTGCCGAACAACCTCCATGGGAGGGACGGAGAGAGTGTCCTGTAGTCCGTCAGCGTCGATATCCTTCAGGTTTTCACATTCCTGCAGCTCAGCAGGGAATGATCGCAGAGGGTTGCGAGCAACCACCAGGATCTTCAGTTGCGTCAACTTTCCCATGGACTTTGGCAGGGCTATCAGCTGATTATCTTGAACCCACAATGTTTGTAGGGACTCACACAGTCCAAGTTCTTCTGGAAGCCAGGTCAACCTATTACCGAAGATTCGCAGCTGCGCCAAGTTCTTGAGATCGCCAACAGAAGTCGGAAGCACTTCGATCTTGTTGTTGTGTGCAAACAGAGTTTTCAGGTAATCCAACTCGAATATCTTGTCAGGGATCATTCCAAGGCTCAAATCCCCAATGTCAAGCTTCTTTGTGCCCGATGCTGCTTGAACACGCTTCAAGATCTCCTTGGCTGAAGTTTTTGAGTTCTTCGGAACCACCTGGTGTGCCCTCCAGTAATATTCTTCTGGGTCTTCTATCTCTCCAGTATCCTGAACCACCGCAATGGGGTTGGAGGTAGGCTGGGCGGACTCGGGCCGCGTCTCCGACCCTTGAGACTGATCTTCCTCGAAGTCCTTCTCATCAAACTCAACGGGGCTCTCCTGCACCATCTCCTGCACCATCTCCTGCACCATCTCCTGCTCACTCGATGGGCTCTTTGCTTCCCGAGGCTCATCGTCATGCTCCACCGGACTGGTCGCGTTTGACCCTGCCCCATTCTTGGGATGAATCTGCGGGAGTTGTGAAGATTTGCTGGCGGAAGAGGAGGGCCTGCTGTTGGACTTCAAAGATTTTTCTGAAGGCGCTGATGAAATGGGAGGAAGGGTCGCCGACATTTGCCTCCGATGTCCAGCAACGTTGATCTCAGGATCACTTTTGCGATCCTCCAGACATTGTTCGCTTCACACCTCCAATGGAAGGCGGTTCATATGACGGCAAAGGTGTCTACAACATGAAACATCCTGTTACCTTCTGCTTTCTTCTTCGATCTACACCTCCTTCGCCATCACCACCAACTACAACACCTTCCTCCATTCTCACTGGCGCGCTCATCCTGCCATCGTTCATCAACGGATTGACCGGTATGAGAGGGGATGAGGGTGGCCGGGCCCTGGCCGGGCGGGGGGCCGGCGACTCAGAGACAGCGATCCCGGGAGTCCGACTCGGACTCGCGGGCCCAGTGATCAGTCCGGCCGGTCACGGCCCTTCCGGGGCCCGGCCCGGGCCCGAGGCGGGCCACTGTACCGTGATTGTGACCCTGAAAGTTCACTGATTGTACTGATCTTTAACTTAACTTTGAGTAAAGAGTCTCACGGATTGGATTCCACCACACTGCTGAGCGCCCTCGTGGCCGCGGCCGGGATGGGGCCGGGCTGCCGGGCGCCCGGCCGTACCGCCGTGCCAGTCACGGTGGCGTACCGTACGGTGGGCTGCCGGACCAGCGGCGCCGGGCCGCCGGACGGACTCCCCGAGGCTCAGTGGCGCGGCGCGGCCGGACATGGCGGCAGCATGGCGGCCGGACTGCCGCCCGGGGCAGGTCGGGGGATGTGGGGTCTTTGTTGAGAGTAGGCCATGCAGGCGTGGGGGCGGCTGGTGTCGCTCAACGGAAGATGGTCGGACGTTGAGCTGTCGCGGTGAGAGAGGATGTGAGAGAAGAGAGATGTGACTGTGAGCCTCGGCATGCAGGAACAAGATGAAATTCGGTAGGAACTCTGCATGCCAGGTGCCCGCCGAATCATAAAAGAAGGAGTTCTGACAAGGTGGTGCTGAGAAGGTCAAGTATGATGATATGAGGATCTCCAACTTGCACTTCTCCATTGAGAAGAGCAGTGAAACAGATGTAAGGGAGAGAGAAAAAGATGCACATGGCACATGGATATGACTCTGTCCTAGGAGAAAGCTGTCGTGTGGGATTACAGCACGAACGGTTTGTTTGTGAATGGAAATCTTATTGGTAGGGGGAACAAGCAAATGATAGTGGTATGCATGACTTGTGTTCAAGATAGTATGCTGACGCACTTGTGTGGGTTGGTTTTTCTCCTCAAAGGATGGCGACATGCTGTCCTTGATTGTTGTGCCTGTAAGAAGGTCGGACGGGACGTACCATCACAGCGATTCATCGCTGGTGAGAGGAAAACAGCTCTTGTCACTCGATATGATTGAAATTTCTTGCTCAGAACTTCATCGCATACAAATTTCATTTTGTGAGCGATGAAGATGAGACCGTCGATATTGCTGAAGTGGAGGAGCAACCCGTAGCAAAAGTTCGATACCGAGGAGTGAGATGTGATGAGGAGGAAGAGCTGGTGAAAGAAGGAGGAGAAAAGAAGACGATGAATCATGAAGGCATGAAACAAAACTCACAAAGTCTCAATGAAGAAGTTCCTGCTCTTGCCTCCAACAATATAGGTGAGTCCAGCGCTGCATAGCACGCCTAGAATGACGTGAGCTTCATTTACAGTTCATACCCAACCAAACGAGCAAACAAGTTCATCGAACAATCATTTTCACTCCGGAATGAAGGAGGAGAAGAGGATGGAGACGACGTCATCCAGTTCTCGAACAGAACAACAAGTAGCAGTCAAAGTTGAGAACCAAACGAAGGACGAGGTGGAGGATGAAAATCCACCGAGTGCAAAGAGGCAGTGCATATCACCAAGGTGGAAGGAATCTTGCATCTGAATGAGTTTGTTGACATGGCTTTCAGTGATGCATCGAACCCTCGCAAGAGCCTTGACTGGAGTCAGAATGAGGAGAACGCGGGGAGCTTGCAAGGTCCAGAAGTCCTGTTCTTGTTATGAGGCTGACCTGCAGCAGAGTTCGAGGCTCGATACGAGAAGACGAATGAGATAGGAGAAGGCGCGTACGCGAAGGTGACGGAGAGAGAGACAGAGGAGACAGATGAGACAGAGAGCGGGACAAGGCGGGGACTAACGAGGGATGAGAGACAAGGATGCGAAGTAAGAGACATTTCGTTTGACAGGTCTATGTGGCGGTGAGGAAGGATACAGAGCAGAAAGTTGCTGTAAGCGAGATTGTTTGCTATTCTTTCGGTGACTCGTAGTCCAGGTCAAGATCCTTCACCTTGCAAAGTTGAAAATCAATGGCATCCGAGATTCGCAGGTCCAAGACGAAATAAACATTCAGATGAAACTATCTCATCCCAACGTCAGAATCTGTTGAGTCCGGGAGCGATTGGTTCTGATCTCTTTGTCTCAGATTGTGAGGATGCTAGAATACTACTTCGATGCGGCAACCAAACGTTTCTTGCTCGTGATGGAACATGTATACTTTCTCTGATTCCTATTCCTTTGCCTCGTCCCTTCCCTTCCCTTCCCTTCCCTTCCCTTCCCTTCCTTCCTTTCCTTTCCTTTCCTTTGCCTTGCCTTTCCTTTCCCTTCCCTTCCCTCGCTCGGAGTGACAAGATGATGTTGACCAGGTTGCCGGAGGAGATCTCTTCGAGTATCTCATCTCAAAACCTGACGAATGCATCTCGGAGGAACTGGTGACGCGATAGCGCAACATCGTCCAAGTCATAGACTCGATTGCAGGCGAGGAAATGGTTCAAGCAGCTGCTTGATGGTGTAGAATATTGTCACTCCATGGAGGTGAGCAGGAGTGTAGAGGTCGGGGAGAAGTGATGATCGTGCAAGCAAGAGAGGGGAGGAGGGGGAGGGGGACGGGGAGAGGGAGAGGGAGAGGGAGAGAGAGGAGGCAAGAGGCAAGAGGAGGAGGCAAGAGGGAAGAAGACGGAGGCAGGATGAAGAGGAGGGAAGGGACAGAGAGTTCAACTGACTGATGGTTGAGGTTGTGCATCGAGACCTGAAGCCGGAGAACATCCTCCTTACCGACAACTCGGCGGATTGTATCCTCAAGGTCTCTCGCCCTCCCTCCGCTCCTTCTGAACTTCAGCAGATCTCCGACTTTGGACTAGCAAAGGCGCTAGCGAAAGGCAGGTGAGGACGGGAAGAGGAAGAAGCAATAAGGAGGAGGCGATCGAGAGGGGGAAGGAGGCGAGGAGTCATAGAGAGGAGGAAGAAACGAAGATTTCTTGGTTTCCTCACTTGTCGACCAGAGAATGCAGAACGAATTGCGGAACTCCAAAGTACATGGCACCTGAAGTCTTCGCTGTTGGGCGAGGTAGTGCTGAGGGTTGAGGAAGAGGAGAAGGGGGGCGGGGGAGATGGAGAAGGGGGAAGGGAAGGGAGGAGGAGGAGGAGGAGGAGGAGGAGGAGGAGGAGAGTCTGATGAATGAGTGAAGGGCTGAAGAAGTACGGGAAGGAGGCTGACTTATGGGGTCTTGGAGTGATTCTCTACGTCATGCTAACGTGCAGCATGCCGTTTGGAGGAGAAGACGACGAAGGTGCGAGGCCAGTACCTCCTCCCTGTTGCTGCTCTGCTGCTGCTGCTGCTGCTCGTCTGCCTACCTGCTTGCCACCTTGTCATGCTCCTTGTCGCCTCCTCCCCTCCCAACCCTCACGCGGACGGGCTTGAAGATCTCGAGGAGGAGATGATCCAGATCGCTCACGGCAAGAAGATGTACGCGGATCTCTTCAACTGCGACGTGAGCATGTCGGTACCTGCAGCTGGAGGGTGACGGTCTGGCAGGCGTGGGAGACCAAGTCAAAGGAAGTCAAGAACATGATATCTCAGCTGCTCGAGCCTGACATGCAGAAGCGTCTCACTGTCGAGGTTCGGCTGCCGCTGCTCCTTCCCCTCCCCACTCACCCTTTGTGCCTCAGGCGGCTCGCAAGCACAGATGGATGAGGGAGGAGGAGAAGGGGTAGGGCCTGATGGGCGAGGGAGGAGGAGGAGGAGTGGTGACGGGATAATCTACACCTTTTACTCTCATCTGAATAGACTCAGCGGGACACTCTCAATATCCTTGATCCACTTCCCTTCCGTCTCCCCCAGCAACCCCGCATTGCTACCCTCACCCTTCGACCCCGACGCCTCCTGGACTGCAGCTGGGGCTTTCACAGCTGCATCCTTGACGGCCGAGGCCACTACCGGCGACTTCGCCGTGAGCTGTGGAGCTACCTTGAGGTGCTCCCCGACAGCTTGTTTGACAACCTGCGGCTTTGACTTGTGCTTGTCAACCCCGAGAGACTTCTCCGCGAACTTCCACTCGTCAGCAACCCGGGACGCGGCGGCTTCATGCGCGTGCGGACGATCCTGCAGCAGGCGGTGAGATGACACCGGCTGTTCGGGCGAGCAAGCGAGTCGGAGTACCTTGATGCTGCGCTGCTTGTCAAGTTCTTGCTGGAGTGCATCCAGAGACTTGTCGGATCGATGATGGCGCACACTCTTCTTCATGTCTGCCCTTGCAATCTGATCGAAGAAAGCTGGGAAACGGCTCAGTCGACGAGGAGACAGAGAAGAAACAAGGTGTCACCATCATCTCTCTCCCGGTCATGCCGGTCGGAAGCATCCACATCCACGTTGGGCTGAGACGATAGCAAGTCAGCGAAGGACTGGCTGAGTCAACGCGTTCGGCTCCTCACCCGAGGCTTCATCCCACGCTGCTCCATCTCTCTCTGTCGGATCAAATCCTCTCGGTGTTTCAGCGAGTCGAGTCTCTTGAGCGAGTCAAAGAAGTTGGAGATGTCTTCCTTCTGCTCCGTCGAGCTCTCCGAGCTCCTTGCTTGCATGTCATCACGCAGGGACTGCTGGGTCGCTACTGGAGGGTCCACCCTGACCGGTCGCTCTGCCTGCACCTCATCGACTTGGCGCGCTGACTTGGCTGGAGAGTGAACATGGGGCGACGGCAAGAGGCGAGAGGCAGTGTGCCGAGTGACCAGAGGCTGGCCTCTGCTGGAGTGGAGGGAGACACGAGCCTGCAGGTTTCTTGCGAGGACGTTCTGCCTGTTCAGTTGAGATCCATAGGAAGATGACTCGGAGTCAGAGAAGAAGCCCTGCTGCGTGTCAAACAAACCGTCAGAACGATGGAGAAAGACGGGTATCAACCATTACATGATCGTCTACAATCATCCCGTTGTCGTGAAGAGCAGCAGCCTTGGGGTCCACATCTCGCTTCGTCGAGGAGCCAAACAGAAGGTGTCCGAACAAACCAGCATTGGGGGCCTTCTCGAGAGCAGAGGATCGATCTTTGAACAACCCGTCTTTGCTGCTGACCATCATCTCATTGTCGAGCTTGTGACGTTTCAGTTCATCTGCCAAATCCTCCTTCCTTTGCTGTTCCCGTGCTCTCCTCTGTTGGATGGGAGTACCGAAGAGAAGATTGTTGTACAGTCCCTCTACAGGGAAGCTTCCTTTGGCTGCTCGAGAAACGAACGCTTGACCCCGGTCGGGCCTCGGGCTCGGGTCGATCTCACTCAGGTGGTTGCTTACTTTGATTCCGGCATCTCGCAGACTCTCCTGGCGTTCTTGACGCAGAGGCAGTGGGTTGCCGTTCTGGTCGAAGTGAGGCTCGCCGAAGGCTGATGAGTGATAGGCTCCAACATGGCCAGCCTGATGAGCCAAAGATTTGGTTCCAAACATGTTCCTGACCAGCCCCTGATTGTTTCATCACCAGCACTGCACGAAACATAGAGGTAGCATACCAGCATGGAGGAGCCAAGCTCGCCATGGTCCAATCGATCCAAGATTTCCTTCTTCTGGTTGGTCCTCAAGGCATGCCCGTGTCCACTCCGCATGGCCAGCTCCTGCTCCAAACCAAGGCTCTTCCCATCAACCTGATCGAACACAGGTAAGGATTTCCTAAGAGTTTGAAGGGAGAGGAGGCGATTACCTCTTTGAGAGCTCTTCCATACTTGTCGACGCCCAGATACTTCTGAGCCTCTTCTGAAAGATATCTTGTGCCGAGGCCGTTCTCATACCTTGCGTTCTGAACAGCCGACACTTCCTGACTAACGTGCTTGGCATGTTTGTCAAGAGTGTTCCAGTAAGACTGCAGCGCCTGCGATCTCATGTCAAAGACTTGATTCGATCACTCCCTCACGTGGCTAGTGAGGCTCAATTCTCACAATCTCCGACTTGATGTCCTTCAGGACATCTGATTTGTTGAGAAGCATCGAAGGTTTTCTTCCCAATGAAACCACCAGAAGGACTGCCACGATCACAGAGGCCAACGCAGCCTGCTGCATGGCACGGAGCTTGGTATCCCCTGCATATCTCTCAGATGAGCCAGTCTCCACCCCAGTACATCTAATAGATGTAAATGCCAATCTATCAAGCATCGATCCTGACTTTACCGCCTTTTCCAATCCCAACTACATCGATGCTTCATCTTTCCTTCTTTCCCTCTCCCCATTCTCTTCTGTTATCTCCCCTTTTGTCATCGCCCTTTTTCTCCTCCTGCCTCCTATCCTCTCCTCACTCCTCCTCTCCTCTCCTCTCCTCTCCTCTACCCTTCTCTACCCTCCTCTCTTGTCTACATCGGCATCGATCTCTTCCTCTCACTCTCTTCGCAGCACTTCGGCACTTCGGCATTGCTTACCTGCCATGGCAACGCGACTGTTCAGCTTTGGGTCCCACCGACCCTACCAGGAATAAAATGAAGTACCCCTAGTAAATCCATCAAGTACCCCCATCTCATCATGTGGTACCCCCACCCCCTAATGATTCAGAACAATTTTGGTCCTCGTCCCCTCTCTTACCCGATCGGTCCACCGGCGGCGCAACGGCCATGGCAAGGGAGGCGAAGGAGGGGAGGAGGAGGAGAGAGAAGTCGGAGCGAGGACGTCAAGACAAGTGATGACGAGGTGGAAGAATCGTCACGTCCAACAGGAAGAGCCTGGCAAGGGATAGCGAGGAGCCTCTGATTGAAATCAGTCGTTGGCTGTGATAGTGCTTGCCGGGCGGTTCCAGCACCATGAACGATGAAGGAATTGAGTATGGGACCCTTGAGGTCTCCCACTACAAGATGTCCAAGAAAATAGCTCAGCTCACTCGAGTGATAAGCATGCTCGTCAACAAGAACGAGGAGCAGGAGTATGAGAAGCAGTACCTCAGCGAAGCGTTCGAGATCGAGATTGGCAGAGTAGTCGACGAAGCCAACACTCTCCTCAACGAGGCTCGCGCAGCCGCTGGTCCAGACGGCTCCAAGATGGAGGCAACAGACATGATACGTGCTCTCAGCAAGCAGCACGAGACAGAGAAGAAGAATGCCTACCATGAGTTCACAGATTACAAGATGAGGGTGAAGGAGCGAGAGAAGATGTTGGTGGAGCAGTTTGAGAGAAAAGTCGACAGCATGACGAGAGAGCTGACTGACTTGAGGGAGCAGTTTGAGCACAACACTCGTGCGTTTGCAGAGACGATGCAACTGATGCAGGCGGAGAAAGGGGAGGATGTTGAGAGGCTAAAAATGGATCATGACAATCAGATCGCGGATCTGATCAACAAGAGCACCAAGAGGCTCAACGAGACGCTGGCAGAGAAAGCTCGCAGCGAAGAAGAGCTGCGCTCTCAGCTCAAGGCTGAGTTCGAGCAAGCTCTCGAGCAAACTCAGAAATCGGCCGAGGACAGGGTGAGGTACATCAGGCAGGAGGAAGAGATCAAGAACCGAGCGAACATGGAGAGCATTCGACGAGAGCTAGGAGCTGAGATCGACCGATACAGGCTGGCAGAGGCCTCTCTGCGACATACGGTCTCCGAGCTGCAACAGAGATGCGCCGACTACGAGCTGACCCTCGCAAGACGGGAGAAGGAGCTGCACGACCTGGAGCAGAGGAAGGCGGAGGAGGCTGACATGGAGTATCAGAAGTCGCGGCAGATGATAGATCGCCTCGAGCGCGAGATCGCTCGTATGGATGACTCGCACAAGAAGGAGCTGGAAGACACCAGGTAGCCGACCAGGTCCCAAAGTTGAACCGATCCCTAACTGTGCCTGCAGTTTGCGCCTGCTGGAGCAAGCGAATGAACGAGTGAGGGACGTGGAAACAAAGTACATTTCCCAGCTCAATGAGGCTACTCGTACAGCAGAGGATCGCCTGGAGAAACAAGAGAAGCTGATCAAGACTCAAATGAACGATCTCTTCCTCAAGTTGCAGAACGACTTCGCTGAACAGTCGAAGAATGCGGCACAGCTGATGCAGGACAAGGAGGACGAATGGAGGGTATGTTACATGCTGATCTCCAACCAGACATAACACTGTTGCTCCAGGCGCGAGAGACGGATCTCAAGGATCAGATTGAAGCCCTCGACCGCAGGAACCGAGCAGAGAAGCAAGAGTTGGAGAAAGAGTTCAACGCCAAACTGAAAGAGACGCTTGTGAACCTTCGTGCAACAGAAGCTGAAGGCCAGAGGATTGCAGTGGAACGAGATCAACTCAGAATGCAAAACGAGAGCCTGAGCGCAACTCTGCATGAAACGAAACGAAGCTTTCTGCGTGAACAGGAGTCTAAGGCAAAAGAGTTTGATGAGAAAGATCGGTCGAGACAAACTCATATCGAAGAGCTGGAGAAGAATTTGAAGGTTAAGAACATCGGAATATTGTTGGATAGCTGACCTGTTTTGACTTGAAGGTTCTTTACGCCTCGGATGAAAAAGCAAGAGAGCTTGAGCACTACAACAAAGTGATGCAAAACAGACTCAACGACCTCGAGGCAACGCATGAAGAGGAAAAAGCCAAGGTCTGACTGTACAGATGACTCGTCTTATCGTCTTCTGATGCAAGTGCTGCAGCTGATTGAGAGACACTCCAAGGAGATGCTGAAACTGAAAGGCGAACTAGAACGACAGAAGCAACTGGCAGAGCAGCAAGAGAATGCTCTGAATGAAAAGCACAGGTTTCAATCAGTGACGTGGTGCGAGACGGTCTTGTTCACTTTCATCTTGTAGAGTGGAGGCAGAAGCTTATGAAGTAGAACAAAAGGAATTGAACAACGCGCTCATTCAGAAATATGAGACACTGTTGCTGCGAAAAGAACAAGAGGCTGAGCTGAAACGTCAGGTGATGTTTTGAATTACTCTGCTATGGTTTGAATATTAGCATTCAACCTGACACGCATGTTAGAATGACATTCGAAGTATCATCGAAGAAAATCAGCGTCAGCAGGAAGTTACAAGAAAACAGTGGATGGAAGAGAGAGAGGAGGCGCTGCGACAAGCCAAGGCTGATTACAACCTGAAGGTTGCCTGTGCGACGAATCGCGAAACCAGAATTCTGATCGTTTTTCTCCCAGTCTGGCGAGATGCAGAAGGAGTTGATATCATTGCAAGGACAAGTGAAGTTGAAAGAGCAGGAGAGCGAGCAGAGGAGACAAGAAGCAGTCAAGATCTCACAGAACGTGGAGAGGCTGAAGATAGAATTCCTGAAGCAGATGCAAGCTGATCAAGAGAAGATGAAGAGCGAGGTAGAATCGCTCAAGCGCAAGCATGTAGAAGAAGAGCAATCCATCAAGGATCGGTCTGAGAAGGTTCTTCGCGCTGCCCAACAAGAGGTGCTTGCCCAATGAGCATGATGGTCTTCACTGACCCTGCTGCAGTTTGAAACCGCCAACAACGCTATGATAGAGCGAATCAAAGACCTCGAATACAAACTTGTTACCCGGGAATCTCGTCCGGAAGACAGAGAGAAGATTGTCCAGGTACCCTTGGCTGCTGCTTGTGTGACGATACATTCATGATCTATGTGGAACAGCTTGAGAAGGAGGTGGCTGAGAAGGAATATCTGTGCAAGAGGATAATGGAGGAGATGAAATACTTCAAGGTGGCTGTCTTTCTTCATGCTGTTCTCAGTTCTCACCTCGATCTCTCTTTTAGATGGAACTGCAGAACAGAGAGACATCGGAAACAACAGATGCTGTAAAACCAACGAAGCAACAACAGAGAGGAGCAAACAAGAGATAGCTAAAGACAAGTTGCTTGCAGCATGAAAAAGCTCCTCAACCATTCGCCTCTCCTTACCGAATGCCGTGAGCCACATGATGACTCCGATGATAGCCCACCGCCGTCACTGCATCGGGGATCCTTTACTCAAAGTCGGGCACTCCGTCAACCACTGAGTCGGAGTCGGAGGCGAATAGTGTAGTAGTCCCTTTACTCAGTAGTCTAACATGTACTCAAAGTTAACTTAAAAATCAGTACGAGGACAATCAGGAGAGTCGAGGAGGCTTGACCCTGACACTGTCGCACAGGCCAAACGGCGAGAAGAGAAAAGACAGCGAGAACCAAACCTAATCCTGCCGACTGCTGTCCCCCAAACTTAACTGACCGCGATGATGGCAGGCGGCAGCGTAGGACAGGGAGGCCTTGAGCTGACGAAAGATCCTGGACCGGATGCGTTTGCAAGTCGGATCGTCCTGCAAGAGGCCATCAGTGCTGGCGATGATGGGAAGAAAGGCCTTTGGCGGAACGTGCTGAGCATATGCAATACGATGCCCTCGGATCTTCCGCTGTGCTGCTCAGCGGCTTGCAGAACATGTGACATGCTGAAGTCCAGGATTAAGACTCAGTAGTAGTAGTAGTAGTAGGTGTAGACTAGTATCTCATAGTCAAGTTACTCTTAAGGTATCCTCACGGCCCCAAGGCGAGTCGCCGCCGCCCGGCCCGGGGCAAGGACCAGATCTGCCTCAGAGCTAGCAAATAGAAAGAAACAAAGACAGTTGAGCAGCATTAGAGAGTTTTAGGAGCCAACTCCGTGTGGGTAGTGTGAAGCTCGACATGTGGCGCGTGTGGGATGGGGAAGGCAAAGAGCGGGAGAGGGAGAGGAAGAGAGGGAGAGAGAAGGAGGTAGATGCATAGAGATCTAGATTGAGGTTGTACTTCTGAATTGCTCCTGCCACTGTTGTTTGATGATTCCACACGTGAAGAACATGAGGGTTGGAAAAACATGCATGGCTATAGGGAATGCGAGTGCAAGTGGAGTGGTTAGGAGAGTTGAACGCTGTTCGGTCGGGCTGGAGGAGGAGAACATCTTTTGTGTAAGCATGAAGAGATGCACATACGTATTCTCGCCCACTGCCATGATTTCATGGATTGCTAAGACCTCGGTAAGACGATCAAGCGGTCGCATTGCATTCTCCCGCATGCCCTGCAGGACCATGCACGCAAATGCAGAAGCGTCAACGAACTCGGCGGTAGGATTGCAAGAGAGGAGCAACGAAGCTCGCAAGGGCGTGCTGGTGCTGTGGGACTTGTACTCGAAGCCTCCCACTCACGGTGACGTCAGCGTGTGCGTTGAGCGTCTGCGGAGGGTTGCAGCCTCCCTGGGGAACCTCAAGAGCATCAAAGTGTTCGGACGTCCAGCGAAGGAGGGAGGAGCTCTTGGAACAGGATCGATCACTCCATACTTCTCTGCTCAGCTACGTCATGGCAGGAGAACAGTGCACCCGAATCTCCACAAGGACAATGACAAGGTTGCACACTGGACAGGAGATCGATGGGTGATCCTCCCCGTCCTTGAGCAGCTGAATGCAATCCCCTCCGCAGTCATTGAGCAGGGAGAGAAAGGAGAGGCTCTTCACCTCAGCCATGAGGATGTTGTAGGGGAGGAAGAGCGCTGGTGCAAGGTTTGTGAGACCCTGGTCTGCGTCCCCTGCTGGCCCGGATGCACAAGGCTGGCCAGCAAACTTCGAGAGGTGCAGACAGAAAGAAGTCGATGGCAGATTTCAAGGATCCGACACAGACAAGATATCCACGAATGGTTCAAGAACAAACATGATTTCTTCCACAAGAGAAAGACAAAATCTTTCCGGCCGAAGTACTTTGTTGACACTGTGGAGCGACTAAACAGTTTGGGTGAGACGAGGATCAGAAAGTTTACATCGGATGTCTGACTGTTGCGTGTAAGGTGTGGAGTACGTTGAGATAGATTGGAAGGAGAAGGAAACAGCGGACGGATTGCTCAAGAAGTACCTAGCCTGGTCAATTCACACTGTTCTGGGCGACGCAGAACCTCAGCAAAACGATCCAGCCTTGACCAAGTGGCTCTCGACCCTTTCAGATGACGTGCAGGTCCTCAGCGATGTTGAGACCATTGTTGTCGTCACTGACGGAAATCATCGAGAGAGGTCGTTTCTCAAGCGATGGTACGACCGCACGACTGCGGCGAAGAAGTGAATGTGTTCCATGGCAGGAATGAGCTTGAGGTACCGGAAGCAGATTCCCACGAGAAGCTGCAGGAGATTCGAATGGACGCTGCACGGCTGCGACGTGAAATCAGACACACTAGACAAAAGAAGCAAAGGTCTTGTTCCTCCTCCCAGCCACTCCCCTGACTCTGCGAAACCTACCTAGGAATCTGTACTTGAAAGAGGCAGAACTGTTAGAGTGCACAGCATTGGGAATCCAGTGGGCAGCGTCATATGTCGAGGCATCCTCGAGCAGCGGCAAGAAGCTGCGGCTGATCGTGAGTTTGATACGAGGGGAGATCAATGAGTGAAGACTGACTCTCTCTCTGTCTCTCTCTCTGTCGCTCTGTCGCTCTCTCTCTTTCTCGCGCTCTCTCTCTCTCTTCAGGTCATCAGTGACGACTCTGTTGTGCGCGGCATATCAGACAGCCCCGTCTCTTGGAGCTGGTTGTGCAATGCTCCTGATGAGCTCTTTGCTGCTTCCTTGACCGAGGGCGTGATGGAGCCATCGAGATGGCAAGAAGGATTCAAGAGACTTGTCTCCCCGCCATCACAGCTCGGCGACTCTCGCGATCCTCAGGCTTCTATAGGCTCCGTAAACGGCCTCCCCTCCTTCTGGGAGCATCTCGGAGACCTCGAATGGGTCATCTACACTGCACTTTCCTGCCCTGACGACAGTCGGCATACTTTGTTGGATCTTTGCCTGAGGAGGCTGGAGGAGTATGGAAAGTCTGGCGACCAGTGGAGGCTCAGGGTGAATCTGATCGAGTGTGTGGCCTTGCTGGGAGCTTCTGCCCCGTCCCCGAGGGTCTTTGGCGTCCTCAGTCAACTCTTGAAGGAGGACAAAGAGCCGTTCGTCCGAAGAGCGTGCGTGGAGGCCATGTCGGCGGTGATTGATGCTCACGAGTAGATGAGCTTTCACTGACTCCTACTCGTTGGTTGCGCAGATCGGGCTGCACAAACTTGAAGGGTCTGTCGATGTTGTCTGTCATGCGCTACATGCTGATCCCTCTGACACTGTGAGCCTCTTCTGCTTTCCCTCCTTATGGTTTTGAGACTAGCTCACAATGGCGTTCAGGTGAGGTGGGCGTGTGCTCGGTGTCTGCAGTCCATCGAATTGAGAGTGCATGAAATCGTGAAGGACATGAGGAAGAAGGAGAAGGACAACAGCAACGAGGGGTTGTTGTTCTTGCGGGCATTCGAGATGATGCGCTCAGAGTTGTGGGGGATCTTCTTCAAGTTATCGCCCTCCTGATCGGAGCGATTCAACATGATCCCGATGCTCGCGTTCGATGTTCTGCACTAGAGGTGCGGAAAAACTTTTCTTGCCTTCCGTGCACCTCTCGTGTGCTGCTGCCTTGTGACTTGTTGCCACCAACAGGCCCTGGTGTTTATAACACCAGAGATTGAGTACAGGCTGCGGCAAGAGGAAAGCGAGGAGCGGATGCAAGAGCTTCAAGAACAACTGCTTTCTGTGTACAGCTTGCTTCAGGCCAAACTCTCGGATCAAGACATGAGAGTAAGAAACAAAGCAAGAGAGGTGAGAATCAATTTGTTGTCTCACTCGGGTCGTTGACTTCCCTCTTCTCCTCACAGTGTTTGAAATATTCGTGGATTGCAATCTTGAAACATCGGACAAGCTGGAAGTCGAACGAGGACGGAGAGATCGAGATGTGCGACTTGGAGCCTGGCAGCTTCCAATAAGCCATTCAAAAGTTTGGACGAGACTTGAACTACTACAGGCTTTCTACCGCGTGCTGGCAGACTCCTTGGCGAGTCACTGAGTCGCCGCCGCCGCTGCCACTCGCGGCCGCCGCCCCCGGACAGCGCGGCCTGCAGGCTGGCATTGGCCCCGACTCCGGGACTCGAACTCAGTGATCGGACAGTGACCACTGAGTCCGGCCGGGCGATCATCCGGGGCCCCGGGCCCGGCGATCGACGGCGCCGCAGTGCAGTGCCCCCGGCCGGCCGGGCCGCGGCCGGAACTTTAGTCACTGAACGTCATGGAATATAACGGTAGCCCAAATTTTGTAACGAGAACTTCCCAAATGATTTTGTTACAACTCGTCTGGCGCCTGATCTCTCCTCAAAAATATTTCAAGGGAAAGATTGAATATTCCTTTGAAAATTGGAACAAATCCCCTGATCAATGCTGAAAATTACATGGTAACTTCTATGTCATTTCAAATTTGACACCATGACTGGAGGAAAAGAAGAAGGCAGACGAAGAATTCACTCTCCCTTCTCCAACACCCTCTCGCTTTCCTTTCCTTCTCCCCTCTCTTCTTCTCTTACATCCCTGCTGTAGTTCGCACTCCGTTGATCCCTTACAGCTCTACTCTACTCGTGTTTCAGTCATGGTGTTGTCCAACATGGCGAACAGAAACGCGTCGCTTCCTGGTTGCTGGTGGAAGACAGCAGAAAAATCCCAGAGGACTCACAAGAGGCACATTCCATCTGATGCCGTTATCGCAATTGCTGGAGGTGCAGGTGGAGCAAGTTACGTTGCTTTCTTGCATCCTCTTGAAGCCATCACCAAGCAGAGGAATCTCTTGACTGCAACTTCCAGCAATGGACTTGTGGCTGTGCGGGATGTTGGCAGCAGTTTGCAGGGTGTGAGTCTTCGCACTCTGTACAGGGGAGTCAAGATGCCGATGTTAGAGAGCATGTACAGCACTGCAAGTCTTCTCGTGATTTATTCACATGTGAGAGATGCCATTCAAATGCACAACGGCGGGATCGAGTTGAGGACGGGAGAAGTTATCCAGGCGGGGGCGATTGCTGGGGGAATCAATGCAGCGCTACCAAACCCCTTCAGCATGAACTTTGGAGTCAGGTCTAATGCTCCAGTATCATTTACTTCCATCCTCCATCATGCGTTGCGGACGTGCTGTCACAAGATCGCATGGAGAACAGCAACGTCCTCGTTCGGAAATGGAACTTTCTTTGGTGTAGCAGGAGTTTCGCGCAAATATTTACAAAACACAGAGACTTTCAATGGGAAGAGTGCAGTGTTGGCATCTGGTGCTCTTGGAGGTTTGGCATATTCTTTCGTTACTTTCGCTTCAGAAACACTTCAAGCTCATGTTGAACTATCCAAGTCAAACTCGTTAACTCAAATTGATTCTGATCGAAGACTTCGTCCTCGTTCTGCTGTGGCTCAAGTCTTTGCACGACACATGCATTCGATGATGCCATCGTTGTTGAAGGGGAGTGCGGGCTGTGCTGTTTTAGCTCTTTCGATCGATAGTGTGCGAACCGCGTTGTCGTTCTAGTATGTATTCTGAATGAAGTAATTCGCCTGGAAAGAGCGTATTGCAAAAACCTGTCACGCTTAGCGAGTGAGCTGCCCTATTGGTGGCACCGTCACATGTTGACCGCCTGCCGCCATTCGGAAGTTCGGTTGAAGGGACGCCGCCACCCTGATCGGACCAGGGCCGGCCGGGCCGCTCGGCCACTGGCCCCCAGACTGGCCCCCCGGTAGTACTGGCTTCGGCTGAGTGCCGGGCAAGTTTGAAAGTATGAGGCTGAAATTTCGAAGTGTCTCCTAGAAGTTCTCAAATTTGGCGAAATCTCCAAGTTTCAGGGGTAGACCGCGGCATGGCAATGAGGCGACACTTGTTGCCTGGCATGCGCATGGTTCATCTAAGCAGGAGAACTTCCAATGCCTCTCTGTCCCCTCCTCGCCCTTCTTCTTGCTACCAATCACATCCCCATGCTCGCTTCCAGGGCACACATCATCACAGTGATCATCGCTGCTATCATATCGCGATGCTGAAACAGTATCCCACCGCAATGTTGTTGAAACAGAGTTTTGGGGCCGTACTGGAGCAGAAGTTCGTTGGCTGGAGAGATGGTGGTTGGAGGAGGATCAATCAAGAGTCGAAGGGGAGGCGAAGATGGCATGATATGGAGGATGCAGCGAGGAACATAGAGAACGGAGGTGCTGACAGCGTTGAGATGCTGGTCACTGTTCTATCGGAGGAGTCCAGAGAACAGCTTTTGAACGAGCTCATGAAAAAGAAGCAAGAACCAAAAGAAGATGTCTTTGAGATGGAAGCAACCAAGATAAGGATGTCAGATTTCAAGCAGTTGGATACGAACGCGGATGGGGTGAGGCGCGAGAAGTGTGGAAATGTTTTGACACCTGTTTTCCAGGTGATCGACTCTGAAGAGTTTGAGAATTTCATCAAGTCAAGATCAGCGCCTCCTGAGGAGCCGAGCATGCAACAACTGTGGCTGGTCGGAACAGCAAGTGCTGTCCCATTTATAGGGTGAGAGAAACTTTCTTGTGCACGATGACTGAGGTGTGTGGTGATTAGGTTCGGCTTCATGGACAATGCCATCATGATTCTTGCAGGCGAGATTATTGAGCTGAAGATTGGGGCCATCTTCAGCATATCAACAATGGCAGCGGCTGCCATCGGGAACTTGATATCCGACGTTGCCGGAGTTGGGATGGGAAGTTATGTGGAGAAGGTTGCAAGGAAGATCGGTTTTAAGGAGCCGAATCTCTCACCTGAGCAAGTGATACTTGGTGATTGCATGTGCCCCAGTCTCCTCATGCGCTTGTTTACGCAGATGGACCTTAGAAGCACACAGATCGCCAGCAATGCCGGAGCAGCATTTGGGGTTTCGTTGGGATGTTTCCTAGGCATGTTTCCTCTCCTGTTCTACTCACATCATGGTTTGTTCGTTCTATTGATTTTCAGATACTTCTTTCCCTATGTTGAACTTTTTCACAGATGATGATGACAAATGTAAATGTGTGGCTGCTGAAGAAGAATAGGCGATATTTAGAGATTTTTGTTTTTTTCTTTACTACTGTTAAGATTGTGCTCTCCTACTCTTGATGATGATCTGCTTTTGAAACAAATTGTCAAAACAAAGACATCAGAATTGACAAAGACATCAGAACTTCCAAGCAGTTCACATGAAAGCGGCATACACCAAATCAAACACTGCATGGATCACTTCAGTGGTATGACATCTGGAACAGCACACATGATTACCGGGAGAAAGGGCGAATGAATATTAGGTGTTATCTCTTAGCATGCGTGGAGGATACTTCATCAGCATTATCACGATGCTGCCGAGGACGTGGTGCTGCCGCACCGCCTGCGGCGCATCCTAGTAGCTTTTGAAGTTCTACCAGGCCGTCTCTCACTTTTCGAGCATGTTTATCAAACAAATCATACGCAAAATTTCTATTCCGTGCGGACGACGCCAGCACGCATCTGCTGAGAGGCGAGGCAGTTGGGGCTCTTCTTGGCAAACTGCGACTCATGTTAGACACCTTGAAATCCACCAGCAAAACGCTCACCTGTCCCCCAACTGCGTTAACAAAGCGACGGATGTACTGGATGCGACGCTTGGCACGGCCAGTCTTCTTCTTCTTCTTGTCCTGTTTCTCTACCTTTGGTGTCTGACCGCGAACCTTACCGGCACGGGCAAGGGAACCGTGCTGCTTTCCTGTGACAAAGCCGTTACCTCATAGCGGCGGATCACTCTGATCACTTCTTACCTCCACGAAGGGGAGCGAAAACATCGAGGACGGCAGAGTTTGAGACGTCATAGTCATCAAGTGTGCAAACATCCTCCAAGATTCTTCCGTTGTAAGAGATCTCAGGGCAAACAATCCCCTTCTCGCTCTGGAGCCTCTGCTTGATGAGCTCGATGCTGTCGCAGGCGTCGCAGTCGACGGTCTGAGCGCCCGAAGATGTTCGGATGGTAATCTGCATTCTGACTTGCCTGCTGTACATAATGGTCAAAATGTGATGAAACGAGCAATCAGTTCAAATATTAGGTAGGGGATGGTTAATCAAAAAACTATTCTTCTATCCAAATGCAGTCTTCATTCATCTCTTCATACTAAGTGATTTTCATAGGATTTTCTTTCGTTGACAGCAATAGGAAGCATTCAAGAGAAGGTGTTCATCCAAATCAACACAACATAGGAAGCATCAAGAATGAACGAACAGAATGTGCAAGAGACCCATCAAATCCATGTGTCTCGTTTCCAGCACGAAGGACAGCATGCATGAAGTTTCTAGTAATCATGAGCTACAAGAGAATCACTGGAAATTATTCAGAATTGCCACTCTTCTCTTCCGCATGGAAATGCCAAATGGAACATGCAGAAATTATCCTAAATGTAAGAAGATACGTTTTGAGTGTATATGCTGATGGTTCTGATCACAACGAGATGATAAAGAATAATGTGAACACCCACGAAAGGAAACTAGATAAATCGAACTATCCCTCTGTCTTCCTTTCCTGACCGTCATTCCATCTCCTCGTCATCGTCATCAAATTCCCTGATGCACATCCAGTCAGGTGAATAGATCCTCGTTGTGTATCCTCCTTGGCATCCCCATGTTCCTCCTCCTGTCCTGATCCTAATTTGCATCTGACTCTCGCTGCTCTCCCTTCCAGCCATCATCTTCTCCGTCCATGTTACTTCACATGGTTCTGCATCGCAGCAGCAACTGGCGGCAAGGGGGTGGGTCACCCCTCCGTCTTAGAGGGGTTATGAAGACCGGTATATTTTACCAACATTTCTACGTTCAAGCTGGGGTAAGGTGATCTAAAACCGGGGTGGTCGAAATATGAGGTCCTTTCCCACCCCTTAGAAACCTGAGGAAGAGACGGGTGGCTAAAAAAAGAGACTCGTGCCCAAGAGTTTTTTTTATCCTCGTGGGGCCTGAGGAGGATGAGGGCCTGGATGAGGGCATCACCTTGAGTTAGGGGATGAGGGGGATGAAGAGAATTGAGGCGGACACGGGGCCGAAAAAGTAAGGAGGGGATGAGGGGCTTTTTATACGTGAGGCCATGCGGATCGAGTTAGTGGTAGGGATATGCTTGAGTGCGATGGCGGCGGGTCAGGAGGAGATGAGAGGACCATGCCATCGACTGCAAGCAGGGTTTGCTCCGTCAATGCATATCAGGAGAAAGTTCACAAGCCTGCCCCATCGCGAGGAGAATGTTTGCGGGCTGAGGAGCGTAGGGATGAAGGTCAAGGGCGAGGGTGAGGTCAAGAGACGAGGAATGGAGCAGATGGATCAGGTGGAACTCTGGATGATCGAGAAGAAGGTCAGAGCAGCAGATCTGGAGCATGCTTTCATTCCTAGGAAGCATGGAGACGTGAGAGGAATAGTTGCCAAGAAAGAGATGCAGCTCGACGAGACGATGGTTCGACTTCCACGTGACGCGTAAGCTCCTCACGACCCTGAAGTAGGCCTTGGTTGACTGACTCCCTTCAAATCCAGTGTCTTGTGTGTCAAGGGCAACGAACCTTGTCCCGACGATAAGTTGCTTGAATTTTGGAATCGATATGACAAGTGGTACGTGCGACTGGGATTAAAACTTTTGATGGAGCAGAGGAAGGGGAGCAAGAGCGCGATCTGGGGATACATCCGACTTCTTCCTGAAGTTGACCAAGTACAGAACTTCCCGTGTGAGTGGGACGAGGAGCTTCTAGACGAGCTCAAGTGCGAGTCAATCATCGCGAGCGTGAAGAAACAGAAAAAAGTATGGGCGGAGATGGTACAAGAATTCCCCAAGCTGTGTCCAGGCAGCGACTTTAGCGCGCAAGAGCTTCGATGGTCATGGCACATGTAAGAGGACAGGAGATAGATGGAAACCTCGTGAGACTGCATGGCAAACAGGTGCTTGAGCAGAGCCTTTGCGGGCCAGTTCGGTGGAGGAATGCTCAGCATGGTAGGACACATTCAGTAAGTTTCTCTCCCGTAACTTGTTTGTCCAGATCCCTGTCGTCGGGCTAGTTATCGAGCTGCTTGCAAGCTTGTACGATGTTACAGCCTCCCACTTCGTTTGTCATCCTTGCTGGCAGGAATCCATCCAAGGATGACTTTGCTTTGCTGCCCATTATTGACTCTTGCAACCATGACGGGTGAATGTTTTCTTTCTTGTTTGTAGATGTTCATGTTATCATAGACGGATCAACAAGACAGACTTGGTCTTCAACCCATTGAGCAACGAACTGATTCTGCGCAATGGACAAGGAACCTTAAAAGCAGGGTTCGTACCGACAGACAACTCTGCTCTTACACTTTTCCTCTTCTCTGCCTCGCCCCCTTCCTCGCATGTTGCTTCATATGTGAATGCTGGTGGCAGGGAAGAAGTTCGAATCACCTACGGAACGCTGGACAACGACGAGCTGCTGTAAGCTGAAGTGGTGAGAGAGTGGTGCTGAAGGTGAGCAGGCAGAGGTTTGGGTTCGTAGAAGACAACTGTCTGCATGACAAGGTGAAGATCGGCATCAACGACATAGCAGAAGCCATGCAGGCGAGTCATGCTGAACGAGACATCCTCTGGCGGGTGACGAGTGCAATCAGGTCGAAGGAGGAGGAGAAGCGTTGCAGGAGAGGCTGTTGGAGGCAGGTCTAGGTTCTGCTTGCCTGGATGAGCTTGTGATAGGAAGGTGCGCGACCTCTCTGCTCCTTTCCTTGCTAAGTTGCTTGCTGAGCAGAAGGGGAGCTGTAGACAGACCAGCTGAGGTCCAGCTTGCGCTCGGGATTCTCTTCGGTGAAGCTGGCAAGGGGGTATCGAGCTTCGAAAGAGTGTCGTCGGAGGTGCTGGGAAGGTGAAGGGCTATTGACAAGTCGCACAAGGTGAAGTTTGCGCAGGGTATGCCAGCACGTGCTCTTGGGCAAGTACGCTGTGGGCGACCTCCAGGTCGGAGCGGGTGGGGATGGTGCCAGCGAGGTGCAGGTCAACCTGGTGAAGGAGTACCGGGAGGCAAGAGCGAGCGTTCTCCGGGAGGCTATCCTAGTGCACAACAAATGATATTCTGTATTCATCGCACATACTCCTCTTCATCATCATTCGCATGCGTCTGCCTCCCTCGTGACATCCAGCTGACCAGACTCTTACACCTTGTGGCCTCTTGACCTCAGGATGTTGTTGATCTTGGTCTGCAGCTGAGGAGCGATGGGCTTGCCGTTGGGAGGGATCGCTGCCCACTCTCGCCTTACCCGCTCTCGAACGGTTTCAAAGTCGTCGAAGACCCCTGGAATCGGGCGCTTGTTGTACACGACCTGCAGAAAGTCAGCAAGTCGAGCAAGTTCATGTTGCTCTTATCCTCCCCACCTTGAGAACAGGCTCCATCCCCTTGCAAGCTGGATCTCCAAGAGGGTAGACCATCGGAGGGGCTCCAGGAGACTCGCGGCAGACGAACAAGCGTCCTGGCAGAGATGTCTGCGAGGCAGCTTTCAGTCCCTGCCCCATGGAAGCAGAGAGGAGGAGGGGGAGGAGGAGGAGGAGGAGGAGGAGGAGGAGGAGGAGGAGGAGAAACCTTTGCCGACGATGTCTTGGGAGTCTTCATGACGTCCCGCTCCTCTCCGTTGGCATACACGAGGTGGCTCAACTGTACAGGAGCTCGTGGGCCGACGATGGAGCAGAGCAGCAAGCAACTTGACGTACCTTGGTGGCAAAAGACATCGTGTCTCTGTTCACTTTCTGGAGCAGGGCTCCTCCCATACCGAATGCAACATTCATGGCGGAAAACTTTGCCTCAAGGACGGCGTCAAGAATCTTCTGGACATTCTGAAATGGCAGGAAGAATAAGAAACTCGGCGCACACAAACATTCTCAGTCCACTGACCTGGTAGTTGATCCCATCACCCTGGATGACAGCAGCTGAGTTGATAACCTTGAAGCCTTTGGAATTCGTGGTGCAGCCGAAAGTTTTCTCAGCGGCATACAAACCCTTCATGACAGCCTCAACAGGGTCGCCCGAGTCCGGCCTCAGGACGATTGTTCCACCCTTGGCCACCTTCGCCTCAGCAACTTTCGGAAGCACTACGTTCAATGCGTTGTCGTAGTCGTAGGAATCCATCACGCAGGCAAAGAGCCCATCGCCGAAATGTTCGATCTCGTTCAACATAGCAGCTTCTTCGGATTCCCAGGCCGTCATAACACTTGGGAATCATCGGTTAGATCGAAGCTTGAAGCAAGTGAGGTCTTCACCTGTGCTCCGTCGCCGGGATGCTTGTTCCCACCGGCTTGCCCCCGTTGAGATGAAACTGAACGTGATAGCACGCAGACATGGTGTCGGACCCTTCGAAGTTGAGCAGGTGGGCTGATCCTCCGAGAACAGCCTGATTTTGACACTTCAGTTTGACAACCTAGTGGACTTGTTCCTGGTCTTACTTGCTCGACGGATGTGCAGCCTCGGAAACCGAAATCGTGAAGACGGCTGTCCAGCAACCACATCTAATCCTCGCGTCAATACTTGTCAACAAATAGTGAAGAACTCACCAGTTCATCGTCGACAGACTTCTTGAAAGATCTTTCGATGAGGTCTCTCGTATATCTCGACAGGGTTGCAACGCATGTGGGGTACCAGATCTGACAAGAAATTTCAGCAGGAGAAGAGCCAGAGAAATGTCTTGACCATCGTCAGGATCGTTTCGAGATAAGTGCACAGCCTGCTGTACTCCTCTTCTGCCGTGATTATGAAGCATGGAGTGTGAATGTACGCGACTGTTCCCTAGAAGTGAACGATCAAAGACTGGCAGACGTCATCGACTTCATGCACCTCTGGGAGGGCTTCGATGGTGACCGGGAGGTATCCGTCGTTCTCGTTGATGAACTTGTAAAAGAGATCTTTTGGGAATGGATAGGGAGTGAAGCCAGCCTTGTGTGTCCTTCCATTCCCGTCAGATTCACACGAACAAATAGCGGCTTCTCTCACTTGTAAAAAATCTCTGCTGCATCTACATCCGCCTTGCACCATTTGCGATTGACAAAGTTCTCGATGTAATGCCTCATGCCGTAGAAAACAAACCTATTGTCTTCCATGTTTGGAAAAGGCTCACGAAACTCTCCGTATGCCGACATGCTGATTATGAATTAATGGTCCAAAAGCGCAAGGGAGCTATATAGCACCTTTTGCATTCTGGATACATCAGGAAATGTCCAGCCTTGTATGAATCTGTCATCACCGACATGGGGCATTCCAGCGTTCGCAGGCCAGAAATCAACTCCAAAGGATACACGTGCCCTACAGCAGACAAATCAGCATAGCAGAGATGTACCCACAGCCAACAATACAAGACAAGACTCACCTGATGTGCCATGCGACAACCTCAGGCTCAACTTCTTGATTTGCTCGTGGAGCTCAGAGTTCTCTTTCTTGAGAGCCTCATTCTGTTCGCTGATCTCTTTCTCCTGGAAACACATGTCATACGCATTTACAACAGATCGATGCCCCGTGCCCCATTAATCGCACTTTCTCTCTCTCGAAACTGACACACGAAACCATGCTGACACGCCAGATTGAGTTCTCGTACACTTTTCGAGCGGGATGTTCTATCAGAGTCCTTCTGTTTCTACCTCTCTGTCCCACCACTGACAGCGTTCAAATTCTATCTGTCAGACCTCTTGCATGCTTCTACAAGACTGAAGCAGTTTGTACGTAATGGATCCCATCTCCTATGCGTTCAGCTGGAACAACACGATGTTTGACTAGGATCAATGTCCTCCCAACCAACTCATATCACACCAACTCATATCACACCATGTCTACTTGTGCTACCTATCTAGTATGTCCCCACTCTCCCTTGCACTTTCTGCTTCTGGGTTCCAAAACACTCAATCCTCTGTATTCGATCATCACAATCGCTTCGAATCTTCTTGCTTCTGCACCTTGACATGCATCTAGAATATCTCCTGATTTTTCGCATTTATGTCTGACTCACTCCCTCTCCTTCCTCACACATATCGTCTCCCTCCTCATCCTTCTCCTCCTCTCCTCCTCCTCGTGCAGCTGCGCTTACCGGCCGTCCCGTCGCCATCGCTCGTCGTTAACGCCACCCAGACTACCCCCACCCTCTTCCCAGCTGCACACAAATGGGGTTGCAGGAGCAGAATGTGGGGTGGGTGAAAACAAGTGTGGGTGTTGGGAGCGTGGCTGGGGTGGGGGTGTATTATTTGTACCAACAGCCAATGGAAATTGGGGGGTATATGGAAATTTGGGGTGAAAAATTTGGGGTGGGGTAGATGACAAATAGTTGACCTAATAGGGTGGTATGTGATTTCCACCGTCCCACCCCCCAACACTGAGAATATAATGTTTTTAAAGGTAACTTTCAAGAGGGGGTGGGATGTTAGTGAATTGACGACATTGAGGGGTGGGTGGAAGGGTAACATTTTCGGGGGGGTAGTTTTCAGCAAGAGCTGATGGAAAATGGTAGGGTAGGTGGTAGGGACAGGGTGGTTTATGCTCAAGACGAGGGGTAGGGTGGCATGGAGTGGTGAAGGGCAGGCAACAAGAAAATGCAGGGAGCCTAGGGGAGGAGGTGAAGGGAAACGAAGGAAGAGGAAGCGAAGGGGAGCGACGTGGAGAACGAGAAGATGTGAAGGGCAAGGAAAAGCTCGAGGAGGTAGAAAGATCTGAATAGGATGAGAGAGTGGAAGTACGAGGAGTGAAGACTGCTGTGTATTTGTGTCAGGGCATGAAGGCGGCGTAGTGGTTGAGAATGGAGGCTTCTTTGTTGCGATGAAGACAAAATCATGTTCAGTCTAGTCCATCGAAACTGGTTAGAGGAAGGAAGTGGAACGAAGGAAATTTCGACAGGACAGGTAGACGAATACTGCAAAACAAAATGGAACGACGATTCGGATGTAGGAAAGTTCAGTTGTGAAGTTGCTGAAAAATCTGTCTTATACAGGGAATCTTTCGGAGCTTTACCTCTTCACTTATTCTCGGTATACCGATAAGATTCAAGTGCTACCAAGAGAGGTGAAAGATAGGATGAATCAGTGAGTTGCTACTTGCCAGTACCCACCTGCAGTGTCAACATGGCTTGAGCGATGAACCACACGACATTCTTTCGGAGGAGCCCGTTTGCTCCTGATGGAGACTCAAGTACAAGTAGGAACATCAGGAGCAGCCAGGGTGGCAGCGCTCCGCATGCCCCGCAAGATTCTTGGGCGCTGAATCCCTTCTCGCGAATACAGCAGTGGAAGGATGTCGTGCAAAACTCCTTGTTCGGCCCTACAGGTGAGAAGCGGTGGCCGGTGCGTCTAGGAGCTGACTCATGGGCTGTAAGACACCGACAAGGGGCCTGAGGGAGACGAGCATCCGAAGCCTGTTGAGCCCAGAGTAGCTGATCCAGCGGTGGTGTTGGACAACCACGAGGACGGTTCTCAGTTTGTTCGGAAGTCTCTGCAAGGCTTGCGCCGGGGTATCTTGTCCCAGGTTTTTGGAGAGTAGAAGGTTGAAGTTTGTGAAGTGACTTTCTCCGTCAGCTGGATGTAGTACAACATTCTTCGGATGATCCGGCGAGTAGGGGGGATTTTGCTATTACCCTTGACATGTAAGGCCTTGTTTGACTTGTCCAGTCTCGTTTTGTCTCACGAGTGATGGTGTCTTTAGGAGTGGAGAGAGCGATGGCGGTGGTGAATCGAGTCATGGTTCTGCTGATGCGCAAGCGACTGCATCGGCTTCTCGTCCTGTACACTTTATCTCATACAGCCCGCTTGTTTTTGCGTGTCTAAGGCACGGGCTCAATATCTCGGAGGTGGAATACCGAGCGTCGTTCGAAGAGAACGTCTTTCGGGTCTTGAAACCTGCAACATCGAAGAGCGGCAGATGCTTTTTCATGACAAGAGATGAGAAGTTCATACTCAAATCCCTTGTAAGAGCAGAGGCTGATTTCATGTTGGACATGCTTTGTCACTATTTCGAGGTGATGGTTGTTTTTGGTTGAACTCGTGATGTGACAATATGCTCAGCATGTGACGAAGCATCCACAAACTTTGCTCCCAAGATACTGTGGCTTGTATGTGGTGAACGAAAAAGGAAGAGAGGTGATAATAAGTGTCGAAGCCAATGCTTTCAGTTCCGACTGCCCAGTACACGAGAGATACGATCTCAAGGTGAGAAATTAAAGCATCACTGCACTGTAAGATTCTCAAGAATGTTGTAGGGCTCAGTAGTTGGAAGGATGACAGCAAAGGAGGACAAGATCAAGGACCCCGACGTAATTCTCAAGGATTTAGACCTTACACGCCAGCTTCCCCTGGGCCTGGCAAACAGATCTTTGCTGCTTCTGCAGTTGCGAGCAGATTGCCAGGTGAGATATCGAATTCGCATCATGTCTCCTGACAAGGCTGGCAGTTCTTGGAAAGTTTGGAGATTGTTGATTACAGTTTGCTACTTGGTGTGCATCATCCGAATCAGGAGCCACGGCAAGCAAGACAGTCTCTGGAAACCGAACTGCAAGACTCCTTGTTCATCTCTGACCACAGTGATACAAACGTCTCTAAAGCTGAAGCCTCGGCGGATGTGCCCCCGGATGCTGGACATGAATCTGACCACAGATATCGCCCGTTGTCGCTGTCGTCCGAGGACGGTGCCCCCCATGACTTTGAGATCAGCAATCTGCGAAACATCAGCGTGTTGGACTCGGGGGACTTTGATTCTAAGATCACCTTCAATACAGACAAGGTATGTGAGCTCCGTGACAGGTTCTGGTATGGACTCACATTGTCGCACAGGTTGTAGTGATTCTAGTGGCAGTCGGGGACACCAAGTGCGCAGCTCTATGTAGGCAAGCAGTCGTTGCAGTCGAGAGCGCCTTGGAGACTGAGGAGAAGCTCAAGGGGCTGGAAGGAGTTGTGCTGAACCTCGACACTTGTACTCCGCATCTCATCACCTCTCTTCGAGCTTTCAACGTCCCCTCCATCCTCTGCTTCAACGCCGGCAACGAGGTGGAGAGGATGATCGGAGCCCCGTCCCAACGGTGCCTGTGCGAATCCCTTACGAAGCTCGTGGCTCTCAAGTCAGGGGAAAAGGGAAACAGGAAAAGTTGGGCAGCGGGACCGTCGACTTCGGTACTGCGCAAGGACTGGAACGGGGTGGAAGGGACGGAGGGAGACGTGTTCTACTTTGGAATTGTGGATGTTCTGCAGCCATACACTCTGAAGAAGCAGCTGGAACATTCTCTCAAGTCGTTGGTTCAAGACAAGAAGAAGATGACGATCGTTGAACCAGCGCTCTACTCCCAGCGCTTTCAGGTCTGCATCCCTTGTAGAAGATGTTGATGAGCTGATAGGTTGACAGGCGTACATCAGCAGCATCCTCATTTAACACAGAGCAAGTCGTCAGCTACCTCAAGGTGCCTTTCCTTGAGGTCGGTCTGTTGCAGGAAGTTTTATTTTTTTCTCTTATGGATTTCTATGAACAAGAACCGTTTTCATGCCAAGGTCTTGGTAGCTGCTGCAGCTGTCGTGTTTCTCTCCTTCCCACCTCACTGCTTTTGCAACATTTGTTCCTAGACATTCAACAAGATCAGAACAGAACCGGAGACAGACAATTCATATCCACCTGGACTTGCTTGTAGTGCAGAGGATACTTCCACATCAACTTGGGTGGAGGAGCAGCACGACGTGGGATTCGCTCGAATTTCTCTGGTTTCAACATTGCACGAAGTCCTGCAAGACGACAAATTAATTCAGGCGTGTGAAAATTTCACACCGCAGGTCATTCGAGAAGGTGAATATCGATTAAGCTCCATTACTAGTCACATCGACATACCTAGCCTGTTGTAGTAGGCGATGATGACCTTTCCCCCTGCTTCTTCGATGATTCGCTTTGCCTGCAGCAACCATTAGCCACTCCACATCTCCTACACGTCGGCAAACCTGGGCAGACGCGTCGGAAACTTCTATCTGAAGGGGTCGGTCGATCTTGGTCCTGAGCGCAGGCAGAATGAGAAGAGTAGGATAGCAAGAGGGCATGCACGAACAGTTCTTTCCCCTTAGCAAGGAGTTTGATCCCTTTCTTGATGTTGCTTCCAACGCAACCGGTGTCACGCAACACCTAACAGCACCTGTGACAAGTCCAACCCTGCACAGTCCAACAAGACCTTCATGTTGATCAACTTGGAGGAGTCGATTCTTCCCTGCTGGATCCAAGACCAGAGGCGATCGCTGCAGTGGCATCGCAATGACCGCTGGGAGACGGAGCACAACAACTACTTCCACCCTCACTCTCACTACCACTTACATGTTCAGCCCCTCCAGAAGGGAAATGTAAGCATGCACGTTCTTGTGACCGAATTTCGGGAGTTTCTCTGCCAAGGCATCAGGGCCCGCGCAGCTCAGGTGTCACTCTCACTCATCAAGGGAGTCTGCCCTCCTTCGAAGCCCAGGAGCCCATGGTTGCCAGCGCGTGCGCGCTACGAGTTTACATCGTCTCAGACAGCACAAGAGAGGAACATGTCGGCTCCAACCTGTCCCTTGTGGCCCCTGCCCGAAGTCTTTCCAAGGCCGCTTCCCGTTCCCCTGAGTGCGGCCGTGAGCTTCAGCATGTCACGGCATGTCTGACCTTCCCAGACGCTTCTTGCTGGGGCGAGCACCGGGGTTGTCGCGGAGGTCAGAAAGAGTGACCTAGTCAAGATTGTGATCGCGCTGACCGCACACGGAGACCCAACCTGCGAGCTGAACGATCGCTCCTGCACGTTCTTCAACAGATTCCGATCCATGAGTTGCGAAGCAGCAAGGGGGAGCGAAGGGAAACTTGCACGACCTGGAGTGTCAAGACAGGGTTCGTATGAGATCGCAACGTCAAAGTGATTGAGAGGTCAAAATGTACCAGAAGTCAGCGACCTGCAAAGGCACCACGGAATTACAAGAAGTTTTGTCAAGATGTTACAGTCAACAACCTGACGATGTTGACGTTGTTGTTGATCGCCGATCTCTCCCACTTCATGAAACCTACCCAGAGCTCGAATCAGGCGATACGAGAAAACGAGAAATTTCAAGGAAGCATGGGGGCTGCTTTCATAGGAACAGGCAAAGTGCGTACCGAATGTAGGACCAGCAACAGATCGCAGACATAACATCTTGGATGATCTTATGTCAAAGTGTCAGAGAAAAGAATACATATTACATGCACAGCTCCCATTAACAGAAGCCTTCCTGGCTGATCCACCTAGGTTTCCCCCACTGCTTATCCCCATGAACATGTCTTTTCAAGGATAAACAATGTTGTAGATGCTGCTAGTACTCCCTTGATGTTGTTTCCTGCTTTTCTCCACTCTCCTCTACCTCTCCACTCATTCCCCCTCTCCCCCCTTCACGGTTCTTCGAATATCTCAGATAGTTCACAACTTCGAGGCTTGCAATGACAGCATTGTACACCTCTCTGTCCTCCTCATCCTAGTCCTTCTGCTGATCCCGCTGTTCCTATCCCAAGTCTACTGCTCCTGCTCCTGCTCCTGCTCCTGCTCCTGCTCCTGCTCCTGCTCCTGCTCCTGCTCCTGCTCCTGCTCCTGCTCCTGCTCCTGCTCCTGCTCCTGCTCCTGCTCCTGCTCCTGATGCTGCCGCCGTCCTGCTCCTCCTGCTCCTCGTCCTCCTCGTCCTGCTCCTCCTCCTCGTCCTGCTCCTCCTCCTCGTCCTGCTCCTCCTGGTCCTCCTGATCCTCCTGCTCCTCCTGGTCCTCCTGGTCCTCCTGGTCCTCCTGGTCCTCCTCCTGCTCCCGCTCCTCCTTACCTGACAAGCGCCTGCATGCTTCTAGATCACTCAACTCTTCCTCAGTATCTGTTGGAACCGTTACAACAGAGGCTAGACGTTACAAAAAGGAAAACGGTTACTCGGGTCGCAACGGACCGTTTCATCTCGTCCGAGATTACCCCTTCATTCGACTTGTGTTTTCGGGGTGGTTGGAAAAGTACCGGTAATAAAGGGGTGGGGGTCATTGAAATGAATCTTTTCTTAGAGATCGGTAGGGGTAATCAAAGGGGAAAGGTAGGGTTCAGAGAAGACTGGTAGGGTCCTATGGCCGAAGGTAGGGTTTGTGCCGAGGGGTGTGAATACGGGGGGGTGGTAGAGCTGACGCGGCTCATGGTGACGTGAGGAAAGGAAAGGAAAGGAAGCGCAAGAGAAGAGATGAGGGAATGAGGAGAAGAGAACAAACAAGAAGATTCAATGGCGAGAACAAGCTTCAATGAGAAGGAGAGAAGGACAGGGTAGACACGAACAGCTGAGGAGGACGGGGGGAAGGAAGGAAGGCGATAGATAAACCAGAGAGATAAGCAAAGTAACGAGAAAAGCATACAAGGAGAGAGCTGAGGTGAGAATGATACCAAATAAGCTATCATATGGGGATGAAATAGGATGGGGAAGGGGAAGAAGGGAGAGAAAGGTGGTTATGCAGCACAGGAAGGGATTTTTCGAAGTAGGAACACGAAATGTAGCGGCGAGCTGAAGATGCTTCTTGAGCCTCCTACATTTATCCCAGCAATAGGATCAGACGGATCTGAATTGAATATGATGCATGGACGAGACAATGCTTCAACTGATGAGACAATGCTTCAACTGATGTTCGCGTCCAGGTCTTGGATCCTGGCTATTGCAAGGAGGGTACTTGCTGCCAACGAGAGTGCATGAGATTGTGATGTCCAAGACCAACGGCAGCAAGGATGATTTCAATGACATGGATGACAATGAACCAGCTCAGCGAGCCATGCAGAAGGTGATGCTGGTCGGGTTCCTGTAGGCGGGGAGGTCTGAGCAGTCGTGTGGTGTTATCAGGGGCCCAAGAAATTTTTCAAGCTCACCTTTATCATCTACGGGGATCGCGATGAAGTAGAGCCGTGAGTCTCCGAGTGCGTGTCAAGGATAGTTGTGACGTTGCTGCAGCATTCTTGGAATCGCTTCGGGGCTGAAGAAAGCTGGACACGATGTTCTCTTTATCTCTCACCACTCCTACAAGGTCAGCGGCTTTGAGCACTGGGCCTGCCCCGCTGACTTTCCTCTAAGGGACTTGTCGAGCAATGGGGCCTTCGATTCGGCCCTGGAAATCCTTACAATCCTCAGCAGCAGTATGCGACAGAGTGAGTTGTGCAGAGAGTTTGCAGTAGTGAGAGAGTGATTTTCTGTCCAGGTACTCTTCAATGATCATGGCAGGCCAGAGCGGAGATCTGATGTTGTCGAAGATGATACATCTCAACAACAACTTCAAGCTCATAGAAGAAGCCACGCTCACTTGCATCAAGAGAATGACAGATATCATTCTGTGCAACTCCTTGGCGACAGTGGTTGGGTTGGCTGTGGCCAGGAGGTTGAAATTGCCCTTCATGGGAGTGTTCACGACTCCAGAGACGCCGACTGAGGCATGGCCGTACATGCCGCACGGGGGAGGGAAGGGAACGTTTGGCTGGTCGAATCTCATGACTTATTCTGTGGCTCTGAGAGCTCAGTGGATGGCCCTCCGAAAGACTGTCTGCGAGTGGCACCAGAAGCGCGTTGGAGTGCAGCGAATCGACGATGGATGGAGAAACTTGGCGTTCTTGCACCATCAGGACTTTCCCGTCATGCATGGCTTCAGCCCAAAGATCCTCGGCAAGCCTGCAGACTGGGGTCGCTGGATCCATCCCGTGGGGTTCTGGGTGCCTCCAGTCCTGCCTGGCTGGACCCCCTCTGACGATCTCTCCCGCTTCCTCGCTGCCGGGCCTCCTCCTGTCTTGATTTCGTTTGGCAGCATGACGTGTGCTGATGAGGAGGGACTGGCTGCAATCGGCCTGGAGGCCGCCAGGCTCGCAGGCATCCGCGTGATTCTTGTTTCAGAGTGGCCAGGGTTCACAGCGAACCCCCGCAAGGTGCCTCGCCTGCACCAGAAGAAGAGAATATGTGGAGTGGTCACAGGCACAGCCAACGGTGAAGGTGCTCCTGTCGAGCTGCCAAGCAACGTCCTCATCGTCGACCGATCAGTTCCGATCCAGTATCTCCTGTCCCAGTGCACGCTCGTCGCGCACTCCGGCTGCACGCTGTGGACCGGCGCTTCCTTGAAGGCTGGGGTGCCTTGCGTCCCATGTCCCTTCGTGGCGGAGCAGAGGTTCTGGAGCGTTCACCTGCAGGAGCTGGGAGTTGCCTCGAGCTCCTTGCCTGTCGAGAAACTCTCGGGCGATGCGCTGGCGTCAGCCATCACGGCGGCGCTGGCCAACGGCGAACTATCACAAAGAGCCAAAGAAGTCCAGAAGATGCTCAACAGTGACAACGGAGTCCACCAGGCTGTAGACCTCATCTCGAGGTTCATGCAGAGGCCATGGGACAGGACGGCGATGCAGATCTTGCCGCGCAGAGAAGTGAGAAGCTCGTTGAAAGCTGCGCGGATCTCACTGTGTTAACAGGGGGACCTTGAGATGCAGGAAGGCAAAGTCTTCAAGACCTGGACAAGATACAAGTTTGTTCTCAAGGATCACTGCCTCGAATATCACCGCTATCTTCCTACGGGGCTGCATGACCCCCAGGTGACAAGACGTCTTGCCTCCTGCACTGTCTTGACGACATACGCAGGTGATGGCAACTTTCTTGATCCCGGACGCGGAGATTGTTGAGCATTCAGATGGTGAGGCACTTTGCAATTGATCCTGACTTACAGCCTCCTGCAGCAAGCGGGCAGCAGCAATTTTGTATAGAGATAAAGGACTCCAAGGGAAAGAGGATGGCTCTCCTTGCCGCTACCAACGCGAGGGAGCAGGTGACGTGATGGTGATTGCGGTCAATGCCTCACTGTTCGCAGGATTCTTGGATCCAGGCGCTCAAGGACGTATCCGCGTCATGGGAGACCGGAGCGGTTGACAAGCATCGAACCCTCGAGTGATGTCGCTGACGATGCTCTCAGAATGTCGGGGGCGGCTGGAGCACAAACATCTCCTCGAAACTTCGAGACGCTGATTTCGATGACACTGGTCCCCTCCTCCTGTCCCGAGACGTTCCCAGCACTCACCTTGCTGCGCAGGCGCTCTGATTTCCAAGGCAACAAAGGCGCTGTCGTTGGAGGACACAAACAGAAAGAATTCTAGGCCAGTAAAGTGAAGCAAAACAGTAAAATGAAGCTCATGCTATTGATTTCATTGTGCAAACCCAGGCCGAGCAAGGAAGGAGGGAGAGGAAGAGATGAAGGCAAGAGAGAGGTGTGAGAGGGGCACAGCTTGCTACATGAAGAAAGGCGTCTATCAACAACGTGTTTGAACGTACAACTTGAGGTCCAACAAGAACTCTCAAGGAATCTTCTTGATTGTCTGTCATGCCTAGTTAAAAGAGGATGAAGAAAACAAGCTGCCAACCTTATGCCAGCGCTTCATGAACTCCTTCTCCGTCATTGGATCTGTCTTCAGTGCCGGGTCCTGCAGAGGCAACCAGGTTGAGTCAAGTCACTAGCGAGTGCTCTCTTCACCTTGATCGTCGAGATCCTCCACAAGTTGGGCTGCCACTCTTTGGGCTGCGAGAAAGTTTTCAGCGCAGGAGCTCGGTGCATGCGAGTCTTTCACCGCTTCCACTTTGTCTGGTGCATGCAGGCCGAAGAAGTTGTAGAGCAAATCGTCGGGCTTATCTTTGTCGCCGAATTCTATGCGAGGGTTGGTCGAGGTGCATCGAGGGAGGGGAAGACTGCTCACCTTCTACTAACTTAAACTTTCCTTGCTTTTGCACCTGCTCCTTCCAGATGTTTCTCTTGTGTTCGTACAGGTCGTCGTTTTCATCCTGAGCGAGATCCTGGCAGGCATGCGATGACTCTTGTGCATTCAGAGCAGGCAGTCAGAGCGGCTCACCTTGGGAGTCTTGCCTGCGAGGTTCTTCACTCTCCTGTTGATCCTTCCCTTCTTTCTCAGAGCAATGCACACGTCTCGGTGCGCAAACATGGCCGCATAGTGCATCGCGTTCGCTCCATATTGATTCGTTTGATTCACATCGCAGTCTGGAATTTCCATGAGAGCCTCTACAGTTTCAGTGTGTCCATTTCGAGCTGCCAACATGAGCGCCTAATTTTGAAATCATTAGGATGCATCAGAGTGAAACCGAGCACATCACAGTGAATCCGTCGTCATTGATGCTGTTGATCTCAGCCCCGTCCTCAATCAATTTCTGAGCGACCGTCTGTATGGTAGTCACAGTGAGTGAGCATCATTGCAGGAGGAGCGGCGAACCTTAGCATCGGGATGCTCCTCCTTCTCCTTCGCCAACTCACTCTCGAGGGCTGCCAACTCTTTGATGGTTTTCACGTACTCCTCCTTCATCTGAAAGATTTTGTGAAAGAAACCATCTCGTATTCTCTCCTTTTCTGTTCTGTCCTTCACTGTGCCTGCTATCGTGTAAAGAAGAGAAGGCTTCAGAGCAATGTGGATTCTGTACCTCCTTTAGTAAGCTCTGCTTGAATCGCTTTCACCTTGGCTGTACCATGAATCCTACATATGTCATCTTTGCACTGTTTCAGATTTCGCAGTGAAATCTCGATAATGTTGCTGGTTTCCTTTTGTCCGTTACTGTTCTTATATACAAGATCCCCAGGTATTTTTGCCTGAGACAACATCACGGAAAGGTCACACTGCATGATCATTCAAGCTCACTAGTAGCTGATCTGTTATGCTCTGCTTCTGAGCTCGTTTCCTTCTAATCTGATCACTCAGCGTCTTAAACTTGCCAGCAAACGAGATTGGCAGGTGAAGTGTTCCTAGAAAAGCCCCCTGTATTTATTTGATTGAGATCAGCGGCAAGAGAAGGAGGGACAACCCATGTCTGACCTCTCGCAGCTGTTTGTTCTTCAGCTCGAACTCTTTTCGCAATGCCGTGGGCTTCATCTTGTTTGTCTGCTGCTCGTCGTCTCTTTCATCGAAGGGAAAGAAAGGGTCCGGAGGTTGGATGTATGGCATCAGAATGCCTCCGAGAGCGCCCAGGACCACATCCTAATTGATTGATCAGTCGCAGCCCATCACAGTCAACGTAGAGACCTCTGCTGACTTGGCGACTGAGCTCAAGGTGAAGTTTGTTTGGTGGATCGCGTTGTCTACCATCCTTCTTACACTTAGTCGCCGAACTGACAAAGAAGTTTCAGTGAAAGCGTCAGGAGGCGCGACGGTGTGTCAATAGCTGTTTTGATGGACATATCAACAGATGTGTAACTAGACGCATCAATAGATTTAGATGTCAATCAACGTGTCAATCGACATCTCATTCACTGCATCAATGGATGTGACAAGCTAAGACGGTTTCGCCAGGTGTCTTTTCATTCGTCTCCTGATGAAGCTTGAGTCGAACACAGATGAGAGACTGACCGTCACCGTTGCTATCTATCTCATGTGGATATTTCAAGAATCAATCACATTTCACCCCAACATCGAGATCTCAAAAATGGAATGATGCTGATCTTTCGCGAGAAGCCTTTTCTACTGAGTCGGCAGTAAGTGGACACATCATTGCAAGTAACATCTCTTGTCTTTTCTCGTTCTCATCATCTTCTCGTCCTCTCTTACTCCTTCCCTCCCTCTCCTTCTCCCTCCTTCCTTGCAGCATTTGCTCTACGCCCTACCCCCCTCTTGTGAACAGCCGCCATGTGCATTCCAGTTGCCATTTTGTACTCACCCTACCACCCCCCCCTTTGACCTGCGAACATTTGCGAACCCTTTTGACAGTCTGGAACCACCCCTTATCATCCGCTCCAACATCCCCTCTACCCCACCCCCCCAACAACAAGTCCTGGAGGGTCCGGACCTACCCTGACCGGGCATCCGACGGATACAGTGCGGTAGGTCATGATCCCCAAATGTAACGCTTTGTAACGACCTGGATCAGTAGAGGGGGGGATGTGGGCATCAGGCGCTAGAAAAGGAACGATGAGAGGGATTAGAAACTGGAGCGGGAGGAATGGCAGCCAAAGTAGTTGAGAGGAGATGTCAGAGGAGATAGAAACATGCAGAGAGATGCGCTGTAGAATCGAAGTCGGTTCATTCTTTGGTTGATCGAGATCTCCACGTGGGGCAAGAGGAAAGCATCCAAGTTTGTTTCTGATCACAACGTTTGCTGCAGGCAAGATTATTGGCCGATCATACGGTACAGAAGATGAAGCAAATGATGTCTGCTGTTACTGCTGCTGAAAAGGTCTGTGATGCATTCTGTTGGAGATTCAAGTGCTTGACAGAATCCAGGGCGCGAAAGAGGGGATGCGGATTGTGATAGGCAAAGATGACGAGGAGGATGGGAGTGAGAACTCACCGAAGCTTGTTGTCAGACCCTACACGAGCGAGCTTCATAGTTCAACGGGTAGGAGACTTATTGACACTGATTCATGTTGTAACGATGTTCGAAGTTCTCATGGCTGGGGAACTGAAGAAGAGGGATGGTGTAATGAGGAAGAAATGGATCGATGTCTACGTGGAATTGAGAGAAAACAGTCTTACCTGCTTTCACTCCAAGGAGGACAGACAGATCCTAGACACTGTCATGGGTGAGTTCATATTTTAGATCACGACCGATGCGGCACTGATGACGTCTTGCAGTTGATGGTGTAGAGGCCTCGGCCGTGGATAAGAACGAAGTTTTTGCCATCAGTATCAAGAAAGCCAGCAGCAAAGGACCATCCATCTTGTCCAAGGATCTCCTCATAGGAAGTGAGAAAAGTGCAGAGCGCGATAGATGGTTGGAGATGATTGAGGCTTGCTGCCAGAAGGCTCGGTAGGTCGATAACGCGATTTGTTGTATAGCTGATGTCAAAGTGTTGCAGGACTCACGCAGAAGCAAGAAGGTATTGATCAACTTTTCGACGTTTGAGGAATATTGCAGCGTATCTCATTGACGGTTGTGTCGTAGATTGGTACAAGAAGAAGCTGCTGCAAAAGGTAGAGCCGAGGCAGATGAATTGCGAAAAGTCCTAGAGGAGTGCGCGGCTCAACGAAATCAGGAGGCTTTAGCATCAACTTCAGAACCAAGAACTAGCGGAGGGATGGCAGAAAGCTCGAAGAATACACTTTCATCTCGATTCATGTCTTCGCTCCAGGCGTTACCCTCAAGCCTTCAAAAGTCGGGCAGTCTAGAGAAAAAGTCAGAAGTAGAGGAGATGGGATTGGATAGTGAGAACAGCTGGAACAGCATGCTCACCGAGGCGAATCGTCAACTGCGAGAACTTCAAGACGAGCTTATGAAAGAGAAAGCGAAGACCAAAGCTTTGGAAGGTGACTATTTGAACTTTTTCCCTGTCTCAGTCACATTCACCCATTGATTGCAGAAACGTTGGAGCAAGTATTGGATAACGACAATGCTACAAATGATTCACAGCAAGGTATTGTTATCCTCTGAAGTTATCTTTCGAATTGAAATATCTTCCATTGCTTGTTTAGATGAAACTGCAATTAGCAAACGAGAGCTACTAGTACAAGGTGTACCTTCACATTATGTATTTCAAACTTTTGACCAGATCACCAGGCCTTCAACAACAAAATATCGAGAACAACAACCTAAGGCTTCAAAATGATTCCTTAACAGCAAAAATCTCAGAACTCCAGAAGATGTGGGAGAGCGAAAAGAACAAAGCAAAATCCTCTGAAGATGAAAATATAAGGATTGATAAAGAATTACAAGATCTGAAAGAGAAGCTGAACGAGAAGACTATTGAGACGGAATCTTTAAAAAGTCTCCAAGACAAACTCATTAATATCGAAAAGCAGAAGGATAGCGGGCTGGCGGCCGAGCAGGGTAAGCAGATGCAGGAGCTAAGCCAGGCGATCGAGGAGGAGAAGCGACGGCGCGCAGAGGAGGAAGGCAAGGCGCGGGAGCTGGAGGGGAAGGTACGGGAGCTGGAGGGGAAGCTGGAGGCGAAGGAGAAGGAGAGCGGGCTGGCGGCCGAGCAGGGCAAGCAGATGCAGGAGCTAAGCCAGGCGATCGAGGAGGAGAAGCGAAGGCGCACAGAGGAGGAAGGCAAGGCACGGGAGCTGGAGGGGAAGGTACGGGAGCTGGAGGGGAAGCTGGAGGCGAAGGAGAAGGAGAGCGGGCTGGCGGCCGAGCAGGGCAAGCAGATGCAGGAGCTAAGCCAGGCGATCGAGGAGGAGAAGCGACGGCGCGCAGAGGAGGAAGGCAAGGCGCGGGAGCTGGAGGGGAAGGTACGGGAGCTGGAGGGGAAGCTGGAGGCGAAGGAGAAGGAGAGCGGGCTGGCGGCCGAGCAGGGCAAGCAGATGCAGGAGCTAAGCCAGGCGATCGAGGAGGAGAAGCGACGGCGCGCAGAGGAGGAAGGCAAGGCACGGGAGCTGGAGGGGAAGGTACGGGAGCTGGAGGACAAAGAGGCTTTATCTTCTGAGAAATGTCGAGCGCTGAGCTCGACGATTTCTGAGCTGAGCAACAAGTTGGTCGAAACTCAAGCAAACAAATCGAGCGCTGTGAATCTTGAGATGGAGCAGATTAGCAGGTGTGAGATGATTGTGCATGATATGGACTCAGAGCTACAGGTGAATGATCTGTCTGTTCTTGTCTTCATTCATCTCTTTTATCCAACAGAACAATGTCGCCAAGGCAGAGGAGCTTGTAATTGAGCTAGAAACTTCTCGGAGGTTCTTTTTCTTTTGGTTTGGAAAGGTTTGATAGGTTTGAAGGAGAGTTGCCGACCTCGAGGAGACATGTAAGCGATTGGAAGAGCAATGCAAGAACAGAATCAACGCGAGTGAACATGTACATCAAGAGCTTCATTGCACATCATAGCTTGAGGTGTCTGATCAGCTCTTACAGGATGAGGACTTGAGAGCGAAGTTAGATGCAGCAGAGGGCAGGTAAGGCTGGACATGTAGCAACCCTTGAAAGTGATGTTCCTTTCATAGGGCGAGGGCATTAGAGAACGAGCTGGAAGCCGTCAAAGGCATCGCAAAGTCTCTTCGGGAGCAGCTCAAGCGACATCAGGCGGAGGAAACGAGCAAGGCTGAAGATGTAAGATGGAGCTCTTGAGATTGCTACCTTGTTGACGTAGCTGCTTCAGTTGAAGATGGCAGATACTGAAGCGATGCGAATCGCTCAGGTCATCCCGCTATCTCTCCCTCCAACACTGCTTGTTGATCTCTCTTGTCAGGTTGCGGCTCTCATGGCGAAGGAAGGATGGGAAACGTGACTTGGTCTCGTCATCAAGAGTAGATTTCTCATGTATTCTCAAGATTTTGATCCACACCCTCCCCCTTTTCTAGTTCTTGAAGATTATTTTCTAATTCTTGAGGATTGACATGCACGAGTTGCATCATGTCGTTTCTAACATCAAAGAAGATTTCACCTGAATGGTCAAAATTAAACACGAAGAACGTATGAAACACCGTTCATACTGTTTTCTCCATCGAACAAAACAGCCCAACCATTTCCGACTTGTCTCTTTAGAGTCCCCGTCACCTGTCATTCTATTAAATGAGACATACCAAAACGCAATGCTCACCTTCGACAAGGTAGGATAATGACAAACCCAGGCCTGATCGCATGTACTAAGGCAAGCTGCTTGTGGAAACACTTCAATACCTGTGCGATCCGAACTCGAGAGCCTTTGGCTGCCTTGAGGTCAACAAAGCTTTCCAACTCTACAACACCAAGAGCTGGGGATGAGTAAGGAATGCAACCTGAATAAACATCACTGAGAGAAACACCTTGAGCCTACACGTACCTTGCGACCAAACGTTGGTTGGCGAGTTGAGATTCGATATCCTCGGCATAGAAGCTTCTGCAATGAAGATGTCACTCATACATTTCTTTCTTTCCTCCTACTCCCTCCTACTCCCTCCTCCCTTTCTCCCTCCTCCCTTTCTCCCCCGACCACGACTGTAGCATTGCACATTCACAACGGCCCAGTAGTGTTTGCAAGTTTGGGTATTTTCCGTGTCTGAAAGTTTTCAATAAAATCGACCCCATTGAAAGTTTCAAAGTTTTGCAAGGCCATAACGGTTGTAGGCCCCCGCCAACATGCGGGATCTTTGTTGGAAGGCGAGAAGCGAGGAGGGGAGGGGAGAGGAGAGGAGATGAGAGGAGATGAGAGGAGAGGAGGGGAGAGAAGGGGAGGGTAGAGGAGGGGAGGAGAGACAGGACAGTACTTGAGATAGTAAAGTCCTTGAGAGGAAGAAACAAAATTCAGAGGGTCAGCAGAATGTTTTGTGAGATTCGTTTGGAATGGCTTCTATCATTCGATCGCGCTCAATGATTGCTTACATTGACAATCATGCACAGAAGCACAACACAACACTCTGCATGGAACATCAGTGAGCTGATTGAAGGGTCACGTCGTGCATTGGATCGCAAGTGAGGTTTTCTCTTCGCTCTCCTCCCTCCTTGACGTCTCTCAGACATGTCCAACAAGTGGGCTGATCCTTGGGACCCAAGGGGAAGGTGAGGGTGCATGGAGGACGTTCGAGGTGACACTGCTGGCTAGGCCGAGATGCAGCATGATGCAGTTCAGAGGGTCTCCATGGAAGGTGCCGAAGGCGGTAGACTCTCTTGGAAAGATGCAGCCCAAGGTGAGATGAGAGAGTTGATCATTGACTCTTGGATTGGTTGATCTACTTGTTACTTGTCTCAACACTTGGATTGATTGATCTACTTGTTACTTGTCTCAACACTTGGATTGGTTGATCTACTTGTTACTTGTCTCAACACTTGGATTGATTGATCTACTTGTTACTTGTCTCAACACTTGGATTGGTCTGCAGGAAGGGCCGAAGGACTACTTGGAAGTGTTCAAGAGGACGCGCGGGTCCAAGGTGGATAAGGCGCTAGTGCCTAAGACAGAGGGACTGGTGGGCACAAACTTCATCCAGTGCGAGCAGAACCCTGGGGTTGCGCTGGTAGGAGGAGGAGAGGAGAGGGGGGGGTGGTAGGGGGGGGTTGCAAGAAGAGCTGAAGGAGGATTACAGGACCAGTCGAACCACAAGTACCGGCTGCTGCAGTTTGAGGCTGGAGTGGCTAAGCCCAAGGGTTGCTTCCACACGGAGGAGGAGGGGATCACCGGGTACTCGGCGCTCATCGATCAAGCTGCGAGGGTCTGAGCATGTTGCCTGGCCATCGGTCGCTCACGTCGCTGCTTGCAGGGCCCCCATGGCGTCGCTGGAGTCCCTCGCTCGCTCGGCAACCAGGGCCCCCCGGGAGTGGCTCTGCTTCCCAAGCTGCACTGGCAGCAGAACAAGGTGATGGAAGGCGAGGAGGCGCGTGGGCCTGACAGCAGGGCAGGGGAGGAAGCTTCATCCTCGTAAGAGCCTGCTTGTCAATCAAGGGCTGTGGGACGGGTCAGCACCGGATCACAACAAGGCGGACTATCGGCCAGACATCATGCGAGCGTAGAGATGTCATGGGCAAGCGAAATCGCTGGTGTGTACAGTCAAGGTCCATGGCGACAACCATCATGCATAGCGAATGTTCATTATGATAATCTATACGCATATCTCACTCTCCTGATGCAAAACTTGCAAGTTTGCGATACAAAATTTGAGCCCTCAAGGAGTAAACAACTTGTAAAAGAATATTTCCCTCGCTCCCGACATGTTGCACATCCTCCTCCCGTTTTCCTTTCCCTTCACTGCGTCCCAAAGAAACGCGAGCCAACGTCTCCCAGCCCGGGGATCACCATGCTCTCAGCGTTGAGACCCTCGTCGATAGCTCCCGCTATGATCGTGACATCTGGAAACTCCTGCAGCGGTTGTGAGGCCGGAGGAGGAAGGAGAAGAGAAGACGGGGAGAGACAAGGTGGAAGGGATGGATGGGTTACCTCCTCAAAGTTTGCAATGCCTTCAGGAGACGCCACGAACGTCGCGAGCTTGATGTTGGTCACTCCCCACTGCTTGACTAGCCCGACAGTCGCTCGAGCAACAGAACCGCAGGAGAGGGTCGGGTCGAGGACCTGGCACACAAGACTCAGGAGAAGGGTGTATGAGGAATGAGAGGAGGGGAGAGTGGAGGGAGAGGAGGAGGAGAAGGAAGAGGGAGAGGAAAGAGGAAAGACATGGGGAGAGGAAAACTTACGTATGCTGTTTGACATATAGTCTCGTTGGTGAAACGATTGTAATACTCGACTGGAACCAGCGTCTTTGGATCTCTGTACATCCCGACATGCCACACCTGCGACATCTGTTTACTCATCGCATTCTCTACATCCTCATTGCCATTGCCCGTCATATCACCTTGGTCAACATCATAAGATTCATCATGATCATAATCAACGATATATTCTCTTGATATATGTCGTCGTCGTCGTCATCATCATCATCGTCATCATCATCATCGTCATCACTATCAGTAGCAGCTCTTCATATCTTGATCCACCTGAGCATTTGGATACGCATAGATGAAGCCATCGACCATTCCCAACCCTGAGCGAATGACTGGGATGAGTGCGACCTGATGCGAGACTTGCTCGCCCATGGTGTCGCCGTAGGGGGTGGAGACAGGCCTGCAAGCATGGCATGAGGGCAGCCGCCATGAAGGCAATCAGCGCACATGGACTCAAGAGGGAGGTCAGCCATGGCTTCATACGCCAGCAGTGTTGAGATCTCCTTGGCTAACTCGCGAAACTCCTTGGGCTTCACGGACTTGTCGCGGAGGAACGAGAGCTTGTGGCGCATCAATGGATGCGAGCAAACCTGCAGCATGACCAGTGATAAGCAAAAGAGCGCAAGACATCCCCATCAGCATCTCTGAAACATGCGCCTCGACATGTCTTCGGAATCACAAGCTATGCTCGCATGCCAACGATATGATATCATCACTTCGTGCTCATCCTATCTTAACTTCATCCTGAAAAATAATCCGCGAATCCTAGTCCATTCTTCTTACTCCTCCTTCCTCCGCTCCTGGTCTTGCTCCTCCTGCTCCTCCTCATCCTCATCCTCTTCGACCTCCTCCTCGCCGCCGCCTCAAACATCCTCTGCGCCTCGGCTACGCACCTTGACCACCATGTTGCAAGATTCCGTCGACTTCTGCAACTGGGGAGGTTTTAGAGGTACAGTTCAAAGTGGGGTTCGAAATATTTCAGAATATGTGACGCGAACCTTTGAAATATGACACTATATATTTGAAATGTTGTGTTGCGGAGAACCCCTGCAACAGCCTGTTGCAAGGGCAACAACCATATAAAGAGGGACCTGTGGGACCGCAAGAGAGACCGTCGCAACAAGAGTGCTACAAGATTGACGTGAAATACACGAAGAACTTGTCAGTTGCTTCCTGAGCTTTACTAGAAGATTCATGCATAACATGTTAGATGCTCCTCCTCCTCCTCCTCCCTCACACCACCGAGTGAAGTTTCCTGACAGGCGCAAACGGATTTTGCGTGCGGTGGTGCTTAGAGCCGTAGAGGAACTTGGGCGCTGAGCTCCAGATGCCCATGGCCTTCATACTCCAGAAGTTGTTGTCCACCTGCTCGCCCGGCCATCCCTGCATCGTCTTCCCCTCGTCCACCACGTCCCCGCCCATGATCAGCGTGTGCTCGAGGAGCGTGCTGTACGGCATCATGGCGGCGCCGCTGAGCAGCCTCGAGTTGCTCCTCAAGGTGGCTCCGGGCCCGACAACCACCTGGTTCAGAGTGAAATGCCCGCGGCTGTTGATGTGGGCGATGAGCGACGCGCTGTCGACGGAAGCACCATCGCCGATGGCGACGAGCTCGGGCTCAGTCATCATGGGGTCAGCGCCGGTGGGGTAGAGGCAGACGTTGCGGCCGATGTGACTGCCATGGGCGCGGAAGAACCAGACGAGGAAGGCTGTGCCGTGAAGGTACTCGAGGATCCCGTTGCCGAAGTACGCCTGGCGGATGATGACGGTGGCGGAGAGGTAGAGCTGCCAGCGCTGGCAGTAGGAGGAGGTGTCCCAGTTGTAGACGCCGACGCGCCTCCGACCGATGTAGAACCACTTCATGAGAGTGGCGAGGGAGAGCGACAAGACCGTCGACAAGTTCTGCATGACGATGAAGGTTGGCACCATCCTTAGCCCGATATCCCACAGGCTGTAGTCCACGACCACGAGCGTGCTCCTCCCCAGGAACTCTGCCGTGAGCTCGAAACCTGCGATGATGGGAAGCGACCGGTACATGGCGGCGAAGCATCGCCAGAAGCAGCCGTTGAGCGCGTGGACCCATCCGGGATAGACGACATAGGAGGCGTTCTTGAGGTGAAAGGCGTTGCCGAAGGGGCGAAGGGTGCTGGCGGTAGCAGCAGCTTCTCCTCCTGCCTCCAGCAGCATCGGCTTGCCAAACCGACACCCTACCCACTTGGAACCAGCCTCGTACTCGGTGTTCTTCATGGCCAGCCCACCGGACCCGAAGACAACGTTGCGGCCTATCACACAGCCAGGAAGGAGCACGCATCGATCCCCCACGTTGGCTCCAGCTTCGATGCGGATAGGAGCGCAGTCCTCCGCATCTGCCGTCATGATGATGGACCGGCTCCCAAACACCACGTCGTCTCCCACCTCCAGCAGGTCGTACTCCACCAGCCCCTCGAACAAACTCCCCGGCCAGTAGATTCGATCTCCCACCTTAGCCCCCAGCACCCGCAGGATTCGGCTGATCCCCCCGTAATGGACGCCGATCAGATGTCCGATCTCCTGCAGCCGCTCTCCCGGGAAAAGCTCCCCCATCAGCCAGTGCCGAAACGTCTCAAACTGCGTCGCGTTGCGCTTCCCAGGTGTGAACTTGCCTATCACTGCCTTCTTGACCAAGATGACGGCAAAGAGACGGAAGAAAGGCAGCACCGTCGTCCGCACCACCCGGATCGCCAGGTAGTACCCGATCCTCTCGGGCGTCAAGAACCAGAGGAGCACGTCACAGTAGGTGTCGAGCTCGGCAACATACCACGAGTACAAGACCATCAGGCGGAGAACAAGCAGGACGGGAAGCTGCTCAAAGATCCATACCATCCAGAGAATGAGCCTACCGTACACCCTCCACAGAAAGTTTGGCTTCGCAAATGTCACCCTGCAGCAGATCTTGTCTTGGACGCTGCCGATGGAGGCAGGCGTGATGTCATAGGAGGAAGAATTCGGACCCAAACACGTCTTACTCGGGATCGCGATCCCTGGCACGACGGCGACTTTGCTAGCAATGCAGACCTCCTCTCCTATGTGGACGGGGGCGAGCACCATGCACCCCTTGTCGAGGCAGAAGGAGCGAACGCTGATGTTGTCTATGCAGGAGTTCGATCCTATTTCGATCTGCAGACAAGAAGAAAGTGAGTGGGTGAGATGAAGGTCGTGACTTGATCCGTCTCGTTGCTCACCAGATCGAATTCAGCCAGCTTCGCTCGATGATCAATCGCGACTTTCCTACCGATCTTAGCTCCCAACATGCGATAATAGAAGCAAAGAGTTGCTGAGTTGTATCGAAAGACGCCCCTACCGCACAAGAGATGAATTTGATCGACCAGCCACCACCGCAAGTAGTACTGAGCAACCATGTCACACGAGTCAAGCAAACTAATAATACTCACTTGTCCCCATAGCGGATATCTCCCAGGTTTGTACCTTCCGATAATGATCCACTTGCAAATTACAGCAAAGAGAGGAAAGAAAACTCCCGACACGACGCGTCCAATGGCCAAGGCAAGGATGAGGCCGGCGAGACGGTTGATTCCAGCCTGCTGTAAACTGACCCAGAGAGCGACGAAGAGGATCCAAGTCGAAACTCTTCGAAGAGGATAGATGAGGGAGAGAGGCAGAGCTTGCACGGTGAGGGCGAAGAAAGAAGTCTGAGAGAACGCTCGCAGACGTTCTTGCTCCTCTCCCTCTCCCCACTGCTTGTTCGAGTTCAACATATTTGACGAGTTCTCCCCAGAAGCATTCTCTCCACTCGTAGCTTCATCTACGCAAGATGCCTGAAACTCGCCCTTGCCAAGCTGCGTCCTGAGAGAGTTGACAGAGCTTGACAAGGAGGAGATGGTCCTGTTGGAGAAGATGGACGCAGCTGTCAGAGGCACGTCCATCACCCGGCGGATCTGCGCGACCATCCTTCCCGCGAGCAAGGAACTTCCTCCTGACTCAAAGAAGTCCGCGTTGATGCTGCACTTCTTGCCCAGAAGCTTCTCCCAGATGCTCTGGATCTCTCGCTCGGTGTCGTTGGAAGGCGGGGAGTAGTCATCCCCTCCATCCAACAGGTCGGGCTTCTTGAGCTGGTTGTAGTCCTCTGGGATCTTGTCCAGTGCGATGATCTGCTTCGGCAACAAGTAATCATGGAGGTGCTTCTGCAGTCCCTTCATCAGCTTGTGCACGTCCACGTTCTCAGGAGTAACGTAGAGCACCACAGGATCGCTCCCATCGGGTTTGGGGATGGACATGATGAGAGAATGCTCTATCTTCATCTCCCCCCTCACTCGCTGAACAACATTCATGATCTGTCATCACATCATCAGCTCATGAGCACGAGAATACCATACTCATCACCTGCTGCAAGTCAATGTCGATCTGACGCATCGGAATCTTTATGTCGAGGCCGCTGCCTCTCGGTGGACATGCTGCCTCAAACATGCGGAAATTTTGACTTGTACGATCATCGATCGGCTTCATGTCAAGTCTGTTGGAGAGCCGAATCCTCTGGACCTTGTTCGCCTGCCCCTTAGGGAGCTCGTCCATGAAGACAACAACTTGCGGCCACTTCGCAGGATGAAGAGTCGAAGCAACAAATCTCTGTAGTCCAGCTAGATCTACACGGGGGACGCCGGGAACAGAGACAATGGCAACACCGACCACCTCCTGCAGGACGTCATGAGGAGCTGAGAACGCGATGACCTCCTTGACTCGCTCATGCTTGACAACCGCCTCTTCCACCTCGAAGGGCGAGATAATCTCTCCTCCTCTGTTGATAACCTCCTTTGATCTCCCTGTGAGGTATATCCATCCCTCCTCATCCAGATATCCCATATCCCCCGTGTTGAACCATCCTCCCGGGAAGAAGGACGAGGCGTTTGCTGCATCATCGTTTTCATAGCCGAGCATGAGAGGGGCTCCCTTCAAACAAACATTCCCTACATGCCCAACAGGCAATGTCTTCCCCTCATCGTCAAGGATTCGCACTGAAGGCCCCGCGATCTGCCCACTGGAGGAAGGATGATCCAAGTTGTACTCACAGGAGGGCGAGGAGATGGGCATGCACTCTGTCATTCCATAGCTGGGCAGTACGACACAGCCAAGATTATCTTTCATGTCTTGCGCTAGTGAAGCAAGGAGCCCTCCCGCGGCATTTGCTACCATCCGCAGTTTGCATGCTGAATCACTGAGATTTCTTGATTTCTTCTCTTCGAGGATCATGGTGTGCATAGTTGGCCCTGTGGTTCCATCACAGGAATGAGAGTCAGTTGAACATCTTTCAACATCTTGCAGTCTTTCACAGTGAATGTCCCACCTGCATAGTACCAGGTGACCTTCTGCTCCTCCATACAGTTCCAAAAAGCAACAGCGTCGAAAGCCGGAGCGCAGATCACTCCCCCGCCCGAAAGGATCTGAAGCATCGTAAGTGGTAAACTTTAAAGCAGAGATGTCCAACTAACCACTGCTAACACGTTTCGAGTGATTCCTCCAACATGAAACAGCGGCATCATATTGAGGCAAACATCAGTCGGAGTCAACCCCCATGACCGAATGATGCAGGCTGCTCCAATACAGAGCGTTTCAAGAGAATAAGGAACCATCTGCCAAAAAGAACAGTGAGATGAGCTTCATGCACACAAGAGAAGGAGCGAACGAATCACAAGAAGAGAGGGAGGAGCGAACGAATCAGAGAGAGGGAGGACTTGGGGAGAAGCAGAAGACATTTGCATTCGCTTCACCTTCTTCTTCCCAGACGTGCCAGAAGTGTGCAGGACAAGAACAACTTGCTCGGGGGTGTTGTATCTTGCAGCTGATCGGGCTCGAGGTTCATCGCTTCTCGATCTTTCATCAGTTTGATCGTCATCAAGACTCACAATTGTAAAGAGTCCCACTGTCGACGGATCTGGCAGGAGTTTGAGGACCTTGATGTCTGTTGTTGACACGATCTCCTGCACCCTGGCATCGGACTCGTCCTGATGAACAATCAAAAACTTGCATCGTGTTCCTTGGAGCTCGGATTGAATCTGAACAGCAGAAACATTCAGAATTCATAGATGAACTACAATCAGGAATATATTACCTCAGATACAGTTTGTTGATTGTTGATTGGAACACAGCAGTATCGGTTTAAACACATCAGTATACACAGAGCCAGCTCTGGACCATTGGGCAAAAGCAGGCCACATCTCTCGTTCTGACCGAGTCCAAAAGACTCAAGCGAGAAATTCGACAAGAATTCACGTAAAGTTTCGAAGCTCAATCTTCCTCTTCCTTTCAAGTCTGTTGCAGAGACTGCAAAGTCACCATGCATGCTTGGAGAGCTGGGCAGCAGCTGCACCAGAGACTTGAACCCAAAGTTCTGCAAACACTTCTTCACATCATCTCCTCGGATGCTTGGCACAGCCTCCACACCATCACCATCAACGTGCACAACTCCGGGTTCATTGAATGGTGTGGCTTGCAGAACGTGACGAAGAGTGAAACCGCCACCATGCTTCCATGGGGAGACAGCAGCATCACAAATAATGCCTGCAAGCTGTGATCTCTTCGTCTGAGCTATTCTGGGCTGTGACTGAGCGGCATCTTCACCGCTCTCTACCGTGAGTTTTGAGCTGAAGTCACTGTCGTCGCTCACACTGTTTGTTTCTATTGAGACGCGAACTTCAGAGACATGGTGTGATTCCAACGTTGAGCGTATTGACCTCAAGTCAGACCTCTCAATGCCAGATGCACTTGCTGGTGTTTCGGAGTCTAGCAATGGTGCACTTAACCCCTCTGTTGTCTTCCGGGATTTCGAAGATCCAATTCGCTTTGCCCTTTCTTTCATTCGCCTCATGAGGGATTCTCTTTCTGATTGCGACATTTCACGTGGTTGTATGTTACAAGACTGATGCTACTGCAGTCACCGAATAAAAGCGAAATACAAGAATAATGCTCCGATCGTGCAGGAAATGATGTGGTTGCCGAGCTGCAAGTGGCAGGAGTAGAGGTGAAACGATGGCAGACGGAGGAGCGAGCTCAAGGAGAGCGAGCGCAGGAGGAAGTCAGCCGTCAGATCAAGATGTGAAGAGGGGGAGGAGGAGGAGGAGAGGAGGAGGAGGAGGATGGGAGGGAAACAAGATGCGCTGTTAAAGCTGCATCGCGAACCTTGGGGAAACTATGGTTACAAGGTCTTGGAGGGGTTCAGAAATTGATGTGGGGGTGGGGGTACATAGTTATGAGGTCAAGAGCGAAAATCTTTGCAACTACAAGGTAGGGTCTAGAGTATACCGGTACTCTAATAGAAAAAACAATGGGTACTAGGCATACGCTGGAGTATAAACTACAGGTCAATGTGAATCAAAAGGGGTCAGGGTAGGGAAAGGGTGGGTGCATCGGGTTTGTACAGGCAGGGTGCTTTTTTAGAAGAAGGGGTAGTGTCAATTGTTGTCATAGATGGGTGGGGTGGGAAGACTGGTGAAAGCAGGGGGTATCAAACATATGGAACTAAGGGGTGGTCAGACATTTACAAGGAAACAGGGGTAGGGAACGTCCGTAACCCCCAGGTTCTAAGGGGGGTCAAAAAGGTCAGGGGTAGGGGCATAGTGGACAAGGTGTAGGGTACCATGGAAGAGTAACGGAACATAACGATTATGACAAAGAAATAACAGTGGAATAACGTAACCATGCGACCAGTGGCGAATGACCAGGAAGACTATGGTTTGGACGGAGGGAGGTGGGATTGGCGGCAAACATCGAGATCTTCCTTACCACGTCCGACTTGACAGAGAGAAGGTTTTTGTCCGACTAAACTTCTCCGGGTTCAGCAAGAATGTCTGGAGGTTTCGCAAAGCTGTTCATTGTTTACGTAGCCTGGTCCCTATGTTCTGTCGTCGCAAAAGGTAAAGTTTGTCTCTTCTTGGTGGTTTGCTTTCAATCATTCCATCGTCATGTCCTGTATTCAATGGTCTCCATTGTCTGGTATCCTTTCTTTCATGATCGATGAAGTACTCGTGATCCCTCGAACTTGTAAAGCATCTATAGAGTTGATGATCCCATACTTTTCCAGCTTCAACTGCTCTGGATTTTCAGGAGATTATGAGAGAGGTGCTTGTCTGCTAGATAGTTGACAAGGGGCTACTTACATATTCAATCTTCGATTTCCTTGAATCAGGAGAAGGAAAGAATCGCCCTGCAAAAAAGTGTGCCAGGAGCACAAATTTTGTCATTTCCCAGAGTTCGCAAGCTAGATGCAAGGCAACACAGGTACAAATGTTGACTGGTGCAACGTCAAATGATTGGCTCAATGGTTAATGCTTTTTTGCTACTGTCTGCCGTCTTTACTCGCTGCTTCGCTGATCTTTCTGGCCAGACTGTGGAGAGCTCCAGAAAGCGTCTTCTACATTGCTAATTTCATCACCTCGAGGTACTTGTTGTAATCGACAGAGGATGTTGTTGCATGTGACATCGCACAAGGGAGGAGAATCTGTTGTTGGAGAGGATCAAAACATCAGAAACTGCTGGTTGGGAGGATATGGGACAGCGACGATTTAGGCATGCCGGAGGGTAAGGAAATCAGACCAGGAAAAGATTTCTACCGATTTCCAATGACTTCACCTAGGATTCCTTCAGCCTCTGATGGCATGATCGAAGAGCCGCTCGAAGACTACTTGGCTGAATTGAGGGACGCCATTGTAGATGGATGTGCTTTCAAACAAGGTCAACACCCGAATCACTTCCTGATGTGAGGCTTTGTTTGCAAACTTGAGAGGATGAATGGTGATAAGTATTTCTTCAGTAACGAGTATCGTCCAATGAGCGGCATCTCTCGACACAAAGATGGGCCACTCTACGGGGGGCGTGTGGCGATCCTTTCACTGCAGAGCACCTGCACTTTAGAGTTCTCACCCGAAAAGCATTCAACTCGCGATGAAGTCACAGGCGTTTTCCTTGAGCCAAGGAGCCTCTTGGTGTTTGATGGCGAGGCATACTGGAGGTCAGTCCCGCCGTCTGCACGGCTCGCCTTTGACTCCTTCTTCCTAGCTGGTGGCATGAGATCTGTCCGAAAGAGGACGACATCATTGATGAATCGTTGGCCAACATACATTTGTTGCCAGCTGAATATAAACTTGGCAGCAAGATTGCACGAGAAACTAGGATCTCGCTGACATTACGCGAAGTCAGCAACATTCAAGAGTTTGTTTTGTTGTTCATCACTTGGAAATGCTAAATTTTGTTTTACAGCCCAGACCGCAAGTTCGTCACATCCATGGCACAAGAGGCATGTCTCAACTCACAACAACTTTTGTCTAATTTATCAACCAGGAATACAAGAGGAAATCAAGGCAATTTAAGAACTCCGTATACGACAAAATATAAGAAAGACATCACATCGCGAGAAAGCTGTATCCATGCTAAGGTGGCAAAACGCGTCAATGTTTCATAACTGCATCATCTTCCAACATTCCCAGTTCTTGCGCGCGTACTTGCTCAATCCCTGTGAAAAAAAAGTCTCAGCTGTAATGAAGAAAGACTCAGCGAGGATGTTCACTGACTTTCTTGAAGATCCAATCTGAAGGCCCAATCAGAGGCTTCTCTAACCAGTTGGGTAACTTGGGTTGGTGTGTAGTTGGCAAGGACTGCAGCATTGGTAAAAATGAGAAGCAAACACCTTTCAATTACCTTTCAGCGCCTTTTCTTCTTCATCATTGTTGATGTATTGAACTATCTCATCAATGAGATTGCTCGTTGGGGCTTGTTGAGGTGCATCCGACATTTGATCCAATAAGAATATGCCCGGTCGAAACAATTCACATACAAATCCGGCAGATTCTATCCAGTCAGGTATTCTAGCGAGAAGAATTCAAGTTTCCCGATGAGCTGCAACTGTTGCAGGAAATCCCTTCGCTCTCCCACCCTGCCCTCCTCTGCTCCTACTTGTTCCCTCTCGCTCGCCCCTGTTCTCCCTTGACCTCTCCCCTCCTCCTCTCTCTTCCTCTTGTTGTTCTCCTCGTCTTCCTCGTCCTCGTCGCCCTGCTTGTTGTCTTTGTTCGTCTTCGGTTCTTGCTGCTTCTCCCGCCTGCTTCAAGTTCAGCCAAGGATCTTGCGCGCCATTTTTGAACTGTCCACACCCTACCGCAGACTTCACCCTTATTGAGTGTTTGACTACCCCTTCAAATCTTCAATGTACCCCTTCTTAAAAGACTTCTTGGCTATGCTAATACCCCAATATGCCATGACCCCTACCCTCCCATTCTCGCTCTCTGTGCTGCAACCCCTTGTGTTCAGAGGGCGAAAGAAAAGAAAAAAAAGAACTGAAAAGAAAAGAAAAAGAAAAAAAGAAAGACATTGGAGAGGAGAGGACGGACGGAAATGGAGATATGGAAGGATTTGATACGGGAGGAGTGAGAGGAGAGGAGAGGAGCAGATCTGACGCAAGAGAACAGGAGCAAGCAAGAGAGGAGCAAGGGGAGAGCAGCAAGGATCGTTGTGCAAGTGTGGGATCGAGAGGGGATTGAAGCTAGCGAGGAGAACAAACCAGGAGGAACACAGCAGGTTGGTGGCAGCAAGGGCGTATCAGCGACAGGGGGGAGACGAGAGGAAAGATGACAAGGTGAAGATGGGATCTGGAGGTATAGATCTATCGCGGAACGCGACCAACGGGGTATTGTTTGTCGGCTTCAATCAGGATCAGAGCTGCTTCGCTGTCGGGTTTTCCGATGGCTTCAAGATCTTCAACTGCAACCCCTTCAAGGAGACGATCTCTCGCAAGCTTGACTGCGGGATCCGATACATCGAGATGCTCTTCCGATGCAACATCCTCGCGCTTGTCGGTACGCAGGAGGACGGTAAGTTCCCTCCCAACAAAGTGATCATCTGGGACGACCAGCGCCGCAAGGACATTGGAGAGCTGAGTTTCCGCCATGAAGTCAAGGCTGTTCGGCTTCGACGAGACAAGGTCGTTGTGATCCTGGAGTTCAAAGTTCTCGTCTACAAGTTCTCCGACCTCTCTCCCATCCTCGAGGTCGACACCGTCTCCAACCCCAAGGGCATCTGCGCTCTCTGCCCCAGCCCCAACAACACGGTCCTGGCATGCCCTGGCAGCCATCGAGGGCACGTGCGGCTGGAGCTGATGGAGATGCACAAGACGTTCAACGTGCAGGCGCACAACTCTCCCCTTGGCTGTATGGCTCTCACGCTCGACGGGTCTCGACTAGCCACGGCCTCTGAGCGAGGAACCATCATTCGGGTCTTCGACACGCTTAGCGGGAAGCAGCTGCAGGAGGTGAGGAGGGGAGCAAGCGCGGCTGAGATCAGCTCGCTCGCGTTCGACCACAAGTGCTCCCTCCTCTCTTGCTCCAGCGTTAGGGGAACCGTCCATGTCTTCACTCTGGTAGACGCCCCATCAGCACCGACGTCATCGGAGAACAGCTCGGAGGAACGAGCCGGAGCTGCTCACCAGGTGGTCAAGTCGGGTTGATGTGAACTCAGCTGATCTTGCGAGTAGACCAACAACTGCCGATCAAGCCTGTCTTTCATGGGCAGCATGGTGACTTACTTCAACTCCGAGTGGAGCTTTGCAAAGTGATTTCTTGCTTGTTGCTGCCATGCAACTGGAACTGAAGGAAGAACAGCAGCTGACGTGTGCTGTGCCAACAGGTTTCGTCTCCCTATAGGAGACGGGCACACCATCTGCTCGTTTGCGTCGGAAAAGAACTCCATCCTAGTCGTGACGGCCACCGGCCATCTCTACATGTGTGAGTTCAAACCCGAGGGTCCTCCAGGGCAGGTAGGCGACGAGGCCGACGGTCAGGGGAGTGAGTTTGAGATGACTTTGCTGCAGGAGTGCGAGGCTACGTGGAGCCGCTCGTTCTTGCCGGAGGAAGTTCAATCTCAGTCGGAACTTGGTGAAGGGACGGTTGATGAGGTTGTAGGGAACTGATCTCGTCTGTCAGAATTGCAAGAAGGGGATATGCTGCCGCTCGACACCTGAAGATCTTCTGTGTATTCATTGATATCTTTACCATTTTAATGCATTCAAACACGTGTAGTTTACACTTCGCCCTCGCTCGCCCTACTACTGGCGATTGAAGACAGCTTCCAAATAACTTCCATCCCTCGCATCTTGCACCCTCGCCTGCATCAGTGTAAATGACAGATCTTAGTGGAAGCGCAAAGGAGGGAAAGACTCACGTCGAGCTCGTCTACGTCTTTGTTCGGGCTCGAGACTATCAACTTCGTCATCCTATCACTCACCTCCCTGCTCCTCGTCACCTGCTGCATACGGTTGACGACTGTCACCCGCATAGCTTCCCCCGTAGGAAGTTTCAACGTCCTTCTGCTTCATCTGCTCGTGTACGTCATCGGGCCAGCCCTCCCTCCCCCTTTCCCTCACCCCATCGCTGCTGCTCAGCTCCTTAAGGTACCTCTTGGCACTCTCAAGCTGCAGGCTGTAGGGCCCCTGTCCTCGTCGACAAGATCAGTGGAAGTGACAGGAGCAGCAAGTCAGACCATCTCTCCGCGCAACTGGTTGTGACCCTCCCTGCTGCTCTCAGATCCTCTGCTGAGAGGGAATGAGTGGAGTATCATCTTCTGGCACAACCCTTCCTCCTCTCACCTCAGCCCGTAAACCGCTTCCACATAGCTCCTTGATCTTCGCTGGAAGTTTTGATCGTTGAGACTCTTGGCCTCCAACTTCCGCCGAGCTTCACGCTTGAGATGCTGAGTAGCTTCTGGTTGAATGGGTCGTGATCTTTCCTCTCTCGCGTCTCGATCAGCTTCCTCGGCATGATCCACCCGTTGTGTCTTCCCCTCATTAGCCTCGTCTTCTCCTTTCTGCCCATGAGCAACTTTCTGACGGATGAGCTCCTGCAGCCGGGAGTACTCCAGTTCCTTGGAATGAAAATCTTTCAGAGCATCCCTCAGAGTCCCTCTCTCTTGCTGCAGCTCACGACCGAGTTCGTCCGCATGCTTGACGATCTCCGTCATTTCCCTCGCCCCCAGCTTCGTCTGCTCCCCTGATGTCTCTTTCTGCTCTCCTTCCGCATGCTGGCGATTGTCCCCGTCTCCCACCACCTTCATCGCACGTGACGAAGAAGTCGCCTTGGGAGGTTCGAAGCCGAAGCGGAGCAGCTCATCGTGGGCTCTTGCTTCGGAGAGCCGCTGCATGTATGCCTTGCGCCTCAAGGCTTCAGCAGCGACTTGGGTCGACGACTTCTTTGCCAGCGCCCCACGGAATTCTCTCTGCAGTTCACCCTGCTGCAGCAAAGCTCTTTCTGAGCCGACTGCATCTTTCATCATGTAGACACAAACGATTGCTGCTGTGCAGATTAATGCTGAATTCAGTGCAAGTCTGCAAGGTGTCATGGGTAAGTTTATCAACACTTCAACTCAACCAGCCAAAACCTGAAATAACTCATTCTTTTCTCTGCCAAAACTTATCAACAAGAATATGGATGGAAGAATGTAATGACTTACCTTTGCGCTGCTGTAAAATGAAAGATCCTTGAAGTTCTGGGGCGACATCATGAAACATTCCTGTCAGGCATAGCGAGGAATATCAGAAGGGCTGTCAGACTTGCATTCAATTCAAAAATCTTCACCAGACGGTGTTTCCATTCTGCCGAATCTTGGATGTCTTGGGATTCAACTATTTCATCAGACCCTGCTAGACTCAAGGTAAATTCGACAACTTTCAGCGAGAAGCTACCCGTTCATTCACAGTGTAGATGCACGTCATTCTTTCATGACAGCTACCACCATCATATTCTTCCATCTTCGTGATTGTGATCATCCTCTTCTCCTTCACAGAACTTTTCTATCCTGCCCAGCACTAATGTATATGGAGCTTGAAAATTGGTTGGAACCTGGGTCTTCCCTGGTCTTTCAACACACCGCTTCATCTGCAGCTTGCTCACAACTCGTTTCATCATATTCGATAATACAAAATATTCTCCTCGCTCACTCAGTATCTTCTCCTCCTCCTCTCGCCATCTCCATCTCCTCGCTCTTCCATATCCTCGACATTATTGTCTCTATTTCCGCGCGATTTCGGCCGGGTTGATTTGCGGGTTGATGGGGGATGAGGGCAACTTGATACCCACCCTGACTACTGAGTTACATACGAGGGGTAGTATTCATTGTGTGGGTCACTACCCATATTTTAGAGAGGATTTCCGGGGGTATATTAACGGGTACCTTTGCCACCCTTGATTGGACTAATGGAATGAGGGGTACTGGCCTCAAGGGTCATTCGAAGGGACGCCATGCATCAGAAGCTGTGGGCGCCGAACAGGCCGCCATCGATCTTCTCGTCCATGGCCTCGTCGAACCCTGGACTCCAGCGCCTCGCCAATGTCAGACAACAGCATGCTGAGATTCTTCACTCCTCTCTTCCTCCTCTCCCGACCTTTCTGTTCCACTCCTCCTGACCTCACCTCTGACTGATCGTTTGATGTCCTTCTCAATTCATAATCTCCTGTTGTTGCCTCTTCTCCTCCTCTTTCCCCTCTCTCTTTCTCTATCTCTATTTCTGTCTCTCTCCTCCCCCTTTCCTCTTTCTCTTTCTCTTTCTCTATCTCTGTCCCTCCCCTCCCCCTTTCCTCTCTCGCCTCTATATCACTCTACTGTGTTGTCATCCTGCCCATCCTCTCTTTCCCCCCGCTCTCTCATCTTATCCCCCAGCTCGCCCCTACCTCAACGATGATCGCACCCCAGCTCATGCTTGTCTTCTCCCATTCTTTCTCTCGTACTTATGACACCATGTGTCTGACATGCTCCTGCAGGAAACCGACAACGTGCACAGCCATGCCGCAGGATCTGCCAAGGCCAAGGCGAACAAGACTTCTCGATGGAACGACTTTTGGAACAAGTGAATGACAGTGTGTTCATATACATGCTTGTGAGGCTCCTCCATTAAAGTTGAGTTGCTACCGCTCTGCTCCTTCATCCTGCGTCTGCCAGAGCTTCATCGGGTGCTGGATCTCAGCTCCTCGTAGTGAGGGTCTGGCATGGAGGAGAGCGCGGTGGACGTGCTCTGTGCTAACTCTGAGGTCCGACACCTGCTTCCCCTTCCCCATGGCTTCTCTGAGAGGTCAGCATCAGTGTCCTTCAATCTCCTCCTCTCCTGCCAACCTGATGGCGATCAAAGCGCTCTCTTGGCAGAAGAGCTGCAGATCTGCAAAGGAGAAGCCGTCCATGGCGCTAGCTAGAGACCATAAGAACTCCTCGCTCCTTACTTCCTCCTCTGCCTGGATCTCTCCGAACCCGAAGCTAGTCAGATCTTTGTCTGTCTGCCTCCTGTCCTCCCCGTCTTCGCTTCTCCTCCCCATCCTTGCCCGCAAGTACTGATGTCGAGACTGGGCATTAGGAGGAGGAACCAGGATATGGTGCTCGAGACGGCCCGGGCGCAGGAGAGCAGAGTCGATGACGTGGGGACGAGAAGAAGCGCCAAGGAGAATAACCTGGGGGAACATGAGCAGCAGGCGAGAACATTTCTTGTTTGACCGGGTGATCCTTGCTGGTCTTCATGCCGTCCATCTCGATGAGCAGCTGCGACAGCACGCGATCCAACACCCTGTACCAGGCTCAGCTGCCCTGCAGCTCCTCCGAGCCCCACGAGGCCACCGATCCGACGAGTCGGCGTTGCTGCGAGGGGGAGCGATTGTGTCAATCTTGTTCAGGATGTCAGGAGGAAGGGGAGGAGACGAAGAAGGAACCTGATCTATGAAGAGGATGCAAGGAGCACAACTTCTCGCCTGCCTCTCGTCAACAACGAGCAGTACAACCTCATGCTCGCCTGGTCGAACAGCCGCGAGATCGCACGTTCGCTGCTCCCGACGATTGAGTTGATCAGATCAGTTCCCTGTCAGCTCTCTCAACCAACCTACTCCTCCAGTTGTTGTTGTTCTCTGACTTATTCAACTCACCCGAACATGCAGAAAGTTGGCGACGGGCGCTGCCTCCATGGCAAGAGCCATCGCTGCCCCAACAAGTCAGCCTCCTTGGCTAAACCTCCTACATGTTGACCTGCTGCTGTCTTTCCCGTCCCGGGTGGGCCGTAGAGCAAGATACCCCGAGGAGGGTCGATGCCGAGGGACAAGTACCTCTCACGTTCAGCCAGCGACTGACAAGGAGCAAGGGCATCACAAATACTTGACAACCAGCCCAGGTAGCTCACTTTGATCAAACACGTGTACAAGGAAGATTTCACCTCTTCCATCCCAACCAAGAACTTCCACGGCAATACAGAGATTTGGACTGCCTATTGGAGGTTGGCAGTGAGTTACAAGAGAAAACAGTTTGTAGTAGTCCAACCGTCGCTCGGTCTCGTAACAGCGCAGGTCGAACATCTCTCATCACTTGGAGAAAATGCTCCAGTTTCAATGTTTCATCCTCTGCACCCGCTTCCTGAAACAAGGTATCAAGAAATCATATGAGCATCGGTAATGCATTCAAGATTGGATGTGTCAGTGCATGATGTTGACACGCGTGTACATGCATGACATTATTTCACAGTCATACACCATGAGTAACCTTTCGTTCGCTGATGACGCCAACCACTTTGGTGAGAACAAGTTTGAGATCCGCTCCCGTGTATCTTGACTGAGTCAATACCAAATCAGATGGAAAGAAGACAATTTCACCCGTGAGCCCTGTCTGCGACTTCCTTTAGCGTTTCTTCCTCTGATTTGCGATTGTTGTCGTTCTTGTTTGAAAATTTTCTGCAGCCAGCTGAGTACGAGGAAATGAGCAAGAAAAGATGACCTGGTAAGGACTCTCAAAATGTCTTGCCTTGCTTGAGAAGTCGGAACGGGGAGGGGCAACTGAAGTTGAGCAGGTCAGAGAAGCACAAAGTTATCCACATTAACAACTATACCCATGATTCCAGTCGGCCAGCAGATATAATCTGTTCATCGAGGACATCAAAGCGATTGGTCGCTCCGATTACAAACAGTTTCTTCTTAGACAGGTCCACGTTGTTTCGCACAGATTCCAGACAGCAAAGGAGGCAATGCGCAGCTCGTTGCTCAACCTGTAAAATGTTGTGAGATGAGATACACGCTACATAATTTCTCTCACTTTGTCTCCTTCATTCGATGGTCTGCTGCCGATTGCATCGATCTGTACCAGTTGCCTCACTTATCAACAAACACCAACAAGTTGCTCGCACTTCGTCGATGAAGAGGATGCAGGGACAAGCTTCTAACGCCTTCTTGAACAAGGATATGATCCTCCCTTCCGTTGCACCTTGATCAGCAGCAAACATTTCCGTCGCATTCGCCTTCGTCTCTATCAAAAAGAACATTCCTCCTCCATTTCATCACCTTGATGCTGCGATAAGGGGAGTATCGAAGTACAGCGTTGACAAAGCTTGTCTTCCCGACTCCAGATGGCCCATACACTATCATCCCACACACCTTTCGAGCACCTGGCATGCAAGTGAATGCCGAGGAAATCAGACTGAAGCGGGTACGACCAGACAAACCTTTCAGGTGCGGAGTGAAACATTCTTGTATCGTAGTGCAGGCCTGACTCAGCTGATGGGTGACCTGCACGCTTGTATGAGAGAGGATGCAGCAATGGGAGGGAGAGGATACTCCTCCGATCTCCTGCGCTGCTTGATGAATCCAGGCGGACAGCATCTCACAGGTTACATCTGAATTATGTGCCCATTCATTGTCTTCAGCCTCCGATGGAGGTTTTGTGCTGGTCGAAGCAACAAAGAAGAGGGTGTCTTCGTTGACGTGACATGCATGAGAGGTGATGTCACTCTCACAAAACTCGAATGTCTTGATGATAGACATCAAAGCATAAGTCGATCTTTGTTTCACATCCAAGAAATCTCACCTGTATTTCGGGGTGAAACTCGATCGCATCGATGGCACAAACAAACTCTTGCCCTCCGATGCTGCTGCGAACAGACATTCCTTCACTCCAGACCTGCATGGCATTCCCATCAACCTCATTCCAACACTTGACAAGAAGCCGCGTCAACTGCCCCTACCTTGCCTGTGAATGCCGACCGGACAACTGGCATGACACACACAGGTTTCAGCTTACATTCGACATCCATGCGCAGGTCCTTTGAAGATTCGAAGGTAAGACATACTGATATCCTCTTGGCAACTGCAATCTTGTCTCTCGAGCATCCGTGTGGGAATATCATGAGTTTTGCTGGGAAAACATGACATTGCAAGTTGAAAGCAGCACATTCGGAGATCCAACATTTCTCAGCCAGCATCTTTCCGTCTTCACTGCATCGATGGACTTTGACTCTCTTCATGAGACGAGCAACGATTGGTCTGACTGCTTTTCTCGCTCGCATCCACACGAAAGATCCAAACTTCAGTTCTTCCTCCGATCCTGTGATGAAGGGAACCTGGTCGTCAGAGGAGTCTCCGAGTGAAGAGGGGATCGAACTGTTCTCATCCTCCTTCAACAGTATGAGCGAAGGATCATCTGCCATGAACAGGGCGGGTGGGTAAGTTCGGGATCCCGCCATCCCCTCGGCAAGAAGGCTTTTTGCTGCCATGATGCGCCCCGACAACCATACAAACTTTCAAACTTCACACTTTTGAACTTTGGACAAACAGAAGGTTTCAAACTTGCCGGGCTCCTCGAGGCTCCCCGCCGCCGCCAGAGGCTCGCCGGACGGCCCCGCCGCCGGGCTGCCGGAGCCTTTGAGGCGCGGCCCGGGCGGTGGCGCGGCATCCGATCTAGGCTCGACCCCGGAAGTACCCACAGACACTGCCAGGCTGAGAGTAGGCAATATTCCTTTACTCAAAGCAATATTCATCCTTCCCAAGTTCCATGCAGTTGAGAGTCGCAGGATCAGCGGTTGATGGCAACGGTTCAGTGCTGACTCGCGCCGGGTTCACGCCGGGTTGACGCTACCGGCGGCGTCGACTCCCGGCGAAGCTCGGAGCCAACCCCTGTGAATCAGTGACTAGGTCAAGGCTGAGTCCCGTGGGGTCGGAGCGGGCCATGCGGCAGTGCGATCACAAAGTCGTCGCCGTCGCAGAGACCTCTGCTGTTCTGAAGTTGATCTTCCCCGCATGGCAGCTGCCGTTGAAACGAAGCCAGGGTCACTTGCGATCGGATCGAACTGCCTGCCATCTACTCACAGGCTGAATCGCATGGCGACTGCAAACAACCGGGTCAAATGGCATCATGAGGTGGTCAGCAGTGGCTGACTCAGGTAGCCACGGTCACGTCTCAGACCTGGTAACATCATAAGGGTTATGATGTTGATAGAGGAACATCAATTCTTTCAGCATTCTTGTATATGTGAGTGATTGTTGGATCACAGCAACAGTGCAGATGCTGAAAACCCCCTGACTTGGTCATGCACATACCAGATTCACAACAAAGGCAAAAAAACAAATGAATTAAATTCGTTAGTTTATTGAAGCGGTCAGTAAGACAGGAAGCTAATTGCTTAATACTCCTCTCCCTCCTCCTCACCCTCGCCCTCAGCGGACTCAGCACCAACCTCCTCATAATCCTTCTCGAGGGCGGCAAGATCCTCACGAGCCTCGGAGAACTCTCCCTCCTCCATACCCTCTCCGACATACCAGTGGACGAAGGCACGCTTGGCGTACATAAGATCGAACTTGTGATCGAGACGAGAGAAGACCTCGGCGACAGCAGTGGAGTTGGAAACCATGCAAACAGCACGCTGAACCTTGGCAAGATCTCCACCAGGAACAACAGTGGGGGGCTGGTAGTTGATACCGCACTTGAAACCAGTGGGGCACCAGTCAACGAACTGAATGGTACGCTTGGTCTTGATGGTAGCGACAGCAGCGTTGACATCCTTGGGAACGACGTCTCCACGGTACATGAGGCAAGCAGCCATGTACTTGCCGTGACGAGGATCGCACTTGGTCATCATGGAGGCAGGCTCGAAGACGGCGTTGGTGATCTCAGCCACGGAAAGCTGCTCGTGGTAGGCCTTCTCCGCAGAGATGATAGGAGCATACGAAGTAAGCATAAAGTGGATACGAGGATAGGGCACCAAGTTGGTCTGGAACTCGGTGATATCGACGTTCAAGGCACCATCGAAGCGAAGGGAAGCAGTCAAGGAGGAAATGCACTGAGCAACCAAACGGTTCAAGTTGGTGTAGGTGGGCCTCTCAATGTCCAAGTTACGACGGCAAATATCGTAGATAGCCTCATTGTCCAAAGAAGCGTTGACGTCCATGTGCTCCAAAAGGGTGTGGCAGGAGAGGATGGAGTTGTATGGCTCAACCACGGCGGTGGAGATCTGAGGGGAGGGGATGATGGTGAATCCGAGCTTAGACTTCTTGCCGTAGTCGACGGAAAGGCGCTCGCAGAGAAGAGCAGCAAGACCGGATCCGGTACCTCCTCCGATGGCGTGGAAGATCATGAAGCCCTGAAGACCAGTGCAGTTGTCCGCAAGCTTGCGGATACGGTCGAGGACGAGATCGACGATCTCCTTACCAACGGTGTAGTGACCACGGGCAAAGTTGTTGGCAGCATCCTCCTTGCCGGAGATGAGCTGCTCAGGGTGGAAGAGCTGACGGTAGGTACCAGTACGGACCTCATCGATCACAGTTGGCTCAAGATCGACGAAGACACAGCGGGGAACGTACTTTCCAGCTCCAGTCTCAGAGAAGAAGGTGTTGAAGGCATCATCTCCTCCTCCGATAGTCTTGTCGGAGGGCATCTGACCATCCGGCTGGATACCGTGCTCAAGGCAGAAGAGCTCCCAGCAGGCATTGCCCATCTGGCAACCGCCCTGGCCGACCATGATAGAAAGAACTTCACGCATCTTGGATGTGTTTGGAAAGGAACAAGTGAACGGGTCTCCTTCGCGGTTCGAGGACGCGGGGGACTGGGTTGGCGCCTTGCCCCTCCTCTCCTCTTTTAATCTCCCCTACTCCTACCCCTACCCCATGGGCTTCCTTACTCCAACGGCTCCGCATTCTCTCTACCCCCTACCCTTTATTTGTTCAAAGATGATACTTTGACCCGTATTCTGATCGAGAATTGGACCGGTAGTTTTTCAAAATTCGATTGTGTACCTATCAAGATCTGTGTTTTGACTACCCTTACCTACATATCTAACCAGAAAATAACCCACCCTTGCAAAACTACCCCACCCTAGCGACATTAAAGACACATCGACGGGCCCCGCTCAACCGCCAACCGCTCAGACTACCCTGACCCCCTCATTTCTCAGTTTGTAACCTGAAGGACTTGGGGGTACTACCCCATGATCAGAGGGGTACTAAAGGTCTATCGATAGGGTAGTTTTCGAATTCTTGGTACTAAATTTTCAAATTTTCAAATTCCCCTGCATCCACCCCTCCATGAGTGTCTTGTTTGAATCTGGTCTACAACTACGGGGTACCTTTCCCACCAAGGACGCTCATAGTTGGGGTCCATTCTCGGGGGTTTGAAAACGAAACAAGTGGGGTGGGTGTCTTGTGTTTCGGTTGGTTTGAATTTTGAGAATGAGGAGGATGAGATTCTCATGGGTCAGCTGGGTGATGTGGGCCTGACTTGGTCACCCGGGGAGGAGGGCAATTCGGATCCTGCAAGCCTGCTAATACAAGCCTACCAGCGAAAAACGATGTCGCATGCAGAGGCACAGGTGAGGGAAGCAGAGGTGACGTATGAGCATGAGCATGAGCATGAGCATGAGCATGAGCATGAGCATGAGCATGAGCATGAGCATGAGCATGAGCATGAGCATGAGCATGAGCATAAGAATCGAGGTGTAGAAGAGCATCGAAGAACTGTGTAATGAAATGGAGAAAGCATGGGACAACAGAGTGGAAGTTGGGGAAAGTTGGAGAGCGGAGTGAGAGGGACACAATGACGAGACGACTTCCTGAGAGGAAGGGGACAGAGACTATAATGGGATCTTGATAATTCCCCTTTCAGCTGTCTATCTGCCAGGCGGCTCATCAATGACGTCGCATTTGCCATTCGTTCATCACCCACTCTTCGGTCTACCCAGAAACTGGTAGGGATCAAGACGTTCTCATGTGCTCCCATGACCATCGTGATAGACAAGAGCGCTGCACCGCACTCAAGGGATGAGGAAGGAAGCCTCCAACCCTTGTAACTTGCTGCTAGCTGTGCTGCATGGGTGATTGATTTGTGTGCCCATAGCAAAAGCAGCCGAGGTAGGTGAAGCTTGCTTCGTTTCGACCATCTCATAGTCGTCGTGCAAACTGAAGGACGGGAGTGATGACGAATTGCTCGATGATTTTGCAAAGAAACTCTCTTACTCAAAGGAAGAGGTGCGGGTCATTCACAAATGGTGATGAATGCATTATCGTTCAAGATTGTGGCTCATTGGCTGTGAAAAGCTCCTCGAAGATGAACGGAGATATTCTGATAGAAGAGGTCTCGAGCAACAAGAATGAGAAGGTGGTTCGACATCAAAATAACATTTACATCATAACACTTACACAGATTAGGAGGATGAGGTTCACAAGCAACCTACATCTAGAACAAACAGAAGTTCGGCTCTTGAAAAGAGTGAATGATTCGGCTTCCAAGAAACAAGGCGATACAAGACAAAGTCAATTCGTTGCCGATCACGAATACGTCCCTTATGATTGCCTGAGGGTAACTATCGGAAGATGTTTCGCAGAAGTTCTCAATTATGTAACAGGGGATGCTGGTCTCGTTTGCTCTGCTTCCTTCCTTGAAGATAGAAGAGGTCAGCACTCCCTTGGAAGGGGAGACGCTGACACAGGCACGATCAGCTGCCGTCTGCCAACATGCGCATCCTGATCGTGGGTAACCGTCTTCCTCTCTTACCCCCTGCTCCTCATTCATGGAACAGGCCTTGCCGGAGGAATGTTGCCAAGATTCGTTCACAGTCAGCTCAAAGGGGCCTCGGTAAGCCTGCAGAGCTGTAGTGACCCTCTCAGCCTACTTGTTTCAGTTAGATTGCGTTGAGATCGACGAGGCTGTTCGAGATGCAGCAGAAGAGTTCTTGGGCCTCGTGACTGGTCAGCTTCCTGAGGTCGATTTTCTCGATCGTGCTGAGTGATCTGCGCATCAAAGACGAGAAGCTGAAAGTTCACGTGGCCGACGGTCTGGATTTCGTGAAGGAGGTCGAACTTACCTTGCTATGGGGCTCTTCTAACATGACGTAAAGAGCGACGACCACACTTACAACCTGAGTATCATCGACGTCAATGCCTGCGACGAAGGTCCGACTTGTCGACATGGTGTCTGATACTCATGAGGGCACAGACACAACCCTGGAGGCTCCTCCGAGGCCGTTCGTCGAAGATGGCAAGCGCGATAGACTATTTTCTCGTTCCTTGACCATGCATCCTTGCAGACTTCGTTCGCCATCTTTCCAGAGTAACAAAGAAGCCGGGGGTTGCAGTTGTCAATGTGATCTGCTCCTCATCGTCTCTCCTCCAAGAGATTTTCGATCGTTTTCTTCGATTTTTCGACGACGTCCTCTACCTCAAAGTGAGCCTGTCGTTTATCTTTGCCATGATAACAGCTCTGGACAGGACCATTCACCCGATGCCGATGAGAATTACGTTGTCTTGCTCCTGAACGGGCCCTCCAGTCAGTGGAACTTCAACGTTGGGAGCGAATCCGTGAGCGAATCTCTGGGCAATTCCATGAGCTGATGATTTCTGGCAGGCGATCGTCGATCGCGTTGAGCAATTGGAGAAGATCTTCGTCGCCATGCGACAGTTCGGGCTGACCGGGAGAACGAGAAGAGAGTTAAAAAGGCACGTGAGACTCCTGTCACCCTCCTCCTTGAAGGAAACCTAGATTACAAACTTCTCACGCTCTGGACCAGCCCCGATCACCTGTCCATACTAGATGGATTTGATACTCGTCATCTATCAGTCTCCCTCGTCCGAGTCTGAATCTGTGACATCCGATGCTTCCTCCTCAGTCAAGGCCTCGGACTCAATTTTCGCTCCGTGTCGACTTCTGCCCTTCTCTTGGGCCTCTGGCTCTGCAGGCACGATCTCCTCGACAGGTTCAGGAGCCACAGAGCTGAGGGCTGGAAGATAGTCAGATGTCGCTAGTGACAAGAGGAAAGATAACAATCCCCACCTCTGATATCCTTCTGTGACTCTTGATCCAAGTCCATCAATTCACGTCTCCTTTGGAATACCACCTTCAAGACCCTGATCATAGCTATCTCCCACTTGATGTTGTTATTTGTTGCTGGTCCCTTCCCTGAGAAATCTTTCCCAAACTTGACAAGCGTGTCTTCCTGATCCTTCCTTTCATCCCAGTCCTTGATCAAGATATCGAAGTATACATCATAATCCTTCAAGAGCGTCGCCACTTGCTCAAAATTGCATACCACAAGAACTTCTCGTCTCCGATTCAACAAAGTAGAAAGCTCATCCAGCAGGGACCCTTCCAAGGCTCTCAGTTCTTCAGGTTGAAGGTGAGAAGAGAGGAGGAAGACTCTGATAAACAAGCCTCCGTCGGGAATGGTACCTTTCAATGATCTCAGCTCTCCAGCATTGCTCGCTGCAGAGGAAGTCGAACGAAGTAAGTCCACTGGGACGGGGGAAGAAGTGTTCTTCCGCTCATCAATGGACAACGACGTGGCACTTTGGGATCTTCCAGCAGAATTTCGATCAAAAGCTCCACTGGTGTCCGGCACAAGATCTGAAACTTTCTGATCAGAAACCTGCTTCAGCTAGACGAGGGTGAGTATCTCAACATCATAAGCAAGAAGCATCACCATGCCAACGGTTTCATCAAGAGCATCCTTCAGTGAGTCAATGGTGGTTTGCATCTCCCGGATCTGGCTCTTGTATTGTTCGCATGCAGATCGTAGGCGATCGATCCTCGATTCCTGCAGCAACAGAGAAAAATTCCCGCCAGCTGCGATAGTCACAAACTTCACCATGGAGATATTGACACGTCTGGGAACCTCGACGTGGTTAGAGTGATTCAGAGCAAGTTGACCCTTGTCATTGCATCCACAAGAGAAGACTGAGCCATCGTTCGAGATCATGAGTGTATGATCGTATCCACATGCGACATCTACAATGAACGAAGAAGTTTGATTGTTCATCGTTTCCTCAAACTGCATCAATCTCGGTTCAGCGGATTCATTCTCATGGTATGAGTTTGCAAACTTTCCTTGCCCTAACTGCCCAAAAACATTCATGCCACAGCTGTAAACATTCCCCTTTCCTGTCAGGAGGACGGTGTGCATGGACCCACAACAAGCTTTCACGACATAGTCTCCCTCCTTTCTCAGCCTCTCCGAGAATTCCACAAGTCTCTGTGGAGCCTCAACGATCTCTGAAACTTCTGAATGTCCAATGCCCAACTGGCCACACCGGTTTCTGCCGCATGCCCAAACTTCTCTGAGCAAGAAAGGTTCAGAACGGAACGGCGCATGAAAGAAATATTACCCGCTATCACAAACGAAAATGGAGTGGAACTGACCAGAACCCACCTGCTGGATGCTCTCATCGATCTTAACTCGTTCAGGGGGGGTTGGCCCGCCTTGGTGCCTCCCTATCCCAAGCTGACCGTGTGAGTTGCTTCCGAAGCCCCAGGCGAACCGCTTCTTCTTGCCCTCCACCTCCTCTTGGACAAGTAGGAAGCTGTGATGGTGACCACAGCAGGTGGAAACAGCCGAGAGCTCAACCTCGCAGGGACGAGGAGAAGTTACCTGCTGCTTGCCTGTCAAGGCCAACTGACCATGCTCATTGCTGCCAAACGCCATGGCTTCCCCGTTCCCCATCACGACTATAGTATGTGAGAGTCCGCAGGCAAGATCGACTGCGCCCTGTCGACAAAGAACATCGAGGCGCGTCAACTCCAGTCTTGACTTGAGGTCGCCTAGCCCGAGCTGACCATGACCGTTCCCTCCCAGCACGAACACGTCCCGCAAGTCATCAAGCATACAAGCATGCGAAGCCCCGCAGGACATGAGCATGATCTTCTTCGACTCAAACCCTGAGAGCAGGCTGTTGGGGAGGAACCTCTCTGTGACTCTTCCTCCTACTACTACCTCTCCCTCCCCCCCTCCCAGTTCGCCGAAGCCTCTGCATCCAACCTCCTCCATCGCACCCCACAAGATTCAAGATCCCGCCCCGACCGTGTAGTGGCTCCAGTCATCGGACGCCGGCCCGGGCCGGGGTCGGACGGTCCGAGCCCCCCGGCGGCCCGGGCCGACTCGAGCCGCAAAGTTCCGGGTGGTCGGGCACTGCTCAGTGCAGTGCTACGGTGCCAGTACGGTACGCAGCACTCTTCTTAGGCTTCGAATCTAACCATGCATTGATATCTTCGAGGACTGAGCAACTGACAGTGCAGCGGCATCAAGCTCGGAATGTCGGAATAGGCTCGAAGGACAATTTGCTGTTGACGAAACCTAAAAATACGGAGTACCAAGCATTCGCCGCTCCGACATTTTCAAGCTGGAAGAATTACTACCCGCGGGGAAGAACACTGATGAGTGGCCCCGGGGCCCCGGCTCACCGGGTATCCGATGTCGGCTCGGAGACTCGGTGCGGCAGCGCGGCCGCCGGCCCGCCGGGCCGGCGGGCCGCGCGCGGCACTGTGACGGTTGGCCCGGGGCCCCACTGCCGCAGTGCCGCCGCCCGGGGCCAGTGGCACACGGCGGCGGCGGCCGGGCGGCCCGGCTAGTAACGTGCTACTTGGGTCCATAACTGATACTTGGGTCACTGCGGTGACCGTGATGATCGGCCCGCCTGGCAGGTTCCGAGCGGCGGACTCCGGTAAGCAATTTGATCCGGCAAAAAGTACCCTGGTGGTCGTGGCCTCATTGTGGTCTAGATGGTTGAAAATGGAAGTAGCGACTCAGCAACTCGCAAAGTTCTTTCCGACGTCACCAAAGGACACTGCTCTCATCCCTTGTTCACCCCGAATCCCTCACTGTCATGTCATCATCAACCCATCACTGGTTGTTTGGAGCAGAGTGAAAATGCAACATACATGTATCACCTTAGTACTAACCAAATTCCGGGGAGCCAAGATTGGAGTCGGTGTGGATGCGATTCTCAGAGGGAAATAGATAAGGAGAGATAGAAGAACGACAGAAGGTAAATGCTGGTGCTATTACAGCAGTGAAAATTGAGTTCCCACACCTTCAGGTGCTGGGAGTGAGAAATCTGCACCTGCAAGTTTGAACGATGCCAGTAGTCAAAGTTTGAGAAAGCTGATCATCGGATAGCAGATGTCAAGATGTTGGTGTTGGTGAGTCGGCCCGGGCCATCCGATCGCCGCCGGAGGCCCCGCTGAGTCGTCGGATACCGGCCACTGGCCTAAGTCATGTGATGATTCGACCGTACTCTGGAGCTCCGGGTCTCGGAGACGGTGTGTCGGAAACTTTCATACAGGTCTGAGCTTTACAAAAGAAGACACAGCAAAGCATATGATGAGACGAGATGAAATCTGTGAAACAGGGGAACAAAGCTCACTGACTCACACTGCTCAGCGGTTTGTTGTTTATGAAAGGATCGTGGCTGGTGAGTTGACAAGTTACATTGATTAGCCTGATTTAGAAGACCTTCCTGGTGACGCCTTCGTCTCTTGTCTTTTCACTCACCTCTGTATTAGAAAAGAGCTGTTTCATGTTTATTCTGCCATCACCTTTTCGATCATCTCGGCCAACTCTCCGGACTGAAATCGTCGGTCAACAAATACCAGCAAGGTAACAGATTATATGTCCAACCTGATACATGTCGATGGCGATGTCACATCCTCCAAGAAACTCTCCATCAACATACAGCTGCAGGAACAATCACCCGCACTTAGCAAGGCGTCCCAGGACAGGTAGGGAGGATAACCTGAGGGATGGTGGGCCAGTTGGAATATTCCTTGATACCCTGACGGAGAAGTTCGTTCTCCAGAACGTTGACGGCTTCATAACGGGCGTTGCAGGCGTTCAAAATCTGCACAGGTAGATGAATGAGCAACGCTCCTCTCCATATTCTCGTTTGAAATGACCTGCACAACCGTGTTGGAAAACCCGCACTGAGGAAAATCTTTGTTGCCCTTCATGAAGAGGACGATCTTGTTTTCCTTTACAACCTGTGTAAGAAGTTAAGAACTGGCTTCAAAGGAAGTCATTTTGCCTTATCGATTGCATTCCACATGGGGCCCTTTCTATTAGAATCATCCAACTGCATTCTCAGTTGCAACGGACTGGTGTGAGCTGCCGTTCTCGGAGACTGAACGAAAGAATTTGCAACATTCCTGACAGCAAATCTGGTGCATCCAGGGAGCTGGAGAGAGAAGGACGACACTGAAGTGATTGATATGCCCAGGATTGTTAAGAGAAACGCTTTCGACATCTATTGTACATGTTAGGGTTACCGTAAAGTAATCATATATTCTTGAACAATCAATCAAGCCATCAGTCATATCAACTTTTCTTCATGAACGGTCACTACACTTCTTATTCCGACTGATTGGTTAGGCTAGCCTCAGCCTATTCCTCCTTCCAATCGCTTGGCGAAACTAAGGAAGAATATGTCATACATGAGGACGCTCAGTCAATGTTCCACATCCTTTGAAATCCAACAAACGGTTTCTGTTCTGACTGAACAACTTGTCTATCTGGTCTGACACTTGAAGTTCCCTTGCTCTCCTCATGTCCTCGTCTCCTCTCCTACTCATTTCCTCGCCTACTCTACCAAGTCTTCGGCCTCCTAGTAATATCGGCATCTCCAAGGGGGCTTGCCAGCTAGTACCGGTGGTTTCGACTATCATAAAAAGGGTACAGAAATGGATGGGGTGGTGATATAAAGGTGATGCCGGCGTCACAGTCGAGAGCGCAAAGGTCTCACAGTTGGCCCGGCGCGATTGTACTGAGGCGGACTCGAAGATTTTGTAAAGGCCATGGCGATGCCGGCTGCGTGCCTGTCTTTCATGGTTGCCAACATCGAGGCGCGAAGAATGACGATGAAGCCTGCTGCTTCGTTATCTCACTGCTGCATGTTTGCTGATAGAAGGGCGTTCTCAACAGGAAGACAATGTGTCTTCCCAGCTGATAGGAAGGACAGGTGCTGTACGCGCACCTTCATGGCTGGAATCAACGGTGACGATGATATTATTGATGTGAGTGACTTGGTGGATTCCTCTGCTTATGACTTTACCTGGGATGGACATGATGCAATGGTCTTTGAGAACTTTCGTTGCTCATCTGGTCAGATTGCGAATCACATCAAGAAGATGGTAGTTGACGAGCCTGCGCGAGTTTCAACCCTCATCGCACATTTCGGGGAAGAATCTCAAGAGGTGACTAGAATGTCAGCTTTAGGAGCCAGGCTGCTACGTCTGACCTTTTTATCGTCTCCCCTCCGTCATCTCATGGAGGATGAGATCCTCGGAACGTCCACTGTCGTAAGTTTGTTCATTCCCATACCAAACACCTTTTCACAGGTTTATCAGGATTTCACAGCTGAAGATATCCTGGCAGTTGCAGAGAGTTCGGAAACAGAGGGTGCGCGGCTGATTGTTAACAGGAAGCAGAGAGACAACTCGGTGGCACGAGTTTTTCGACGGAAGACACCAAGTGAAGACGAGCGAGTCTCAAGTGCTGGTTCCGCATCGAGCAGGCTGCAAGATTTTACGGTCAAAGAACTCAAGGTGAGGAGAAGATTTGTCGTCACCATTCGAACTCATATCTCCGCTCATTACGCTTTTAGCTTCTTTGCAAGCGCCAGGGAGTGCCATCGAGTGGACGCAAGTCGGAACTGATAGAGCGACTGATGGGCGTGTTGGACAAATAGACAAGGGGACAGGAATCGTTTCTTCCATTGATTCGATTGAGCCACTTATATTACAAAGACAGTCGTGAGGGTTGGAGGCAGAGATAAAGGGACAGAGAAAGAGGCAGAAGAGATTCAGATTTCAGTGAAGTATGGTACAGATAGAAGGGCTGTAATCCTCAACCCAACACGCGCATGTACAAACCACGATCAAACAATAAACTGGGCATGTCTCTTTCAGGGCGACGAAGGAACTCGAAGGACGAGACAGAAATCATGCGTTCACAGGCTTGATTTGAAGCTCAAGAGCCAAATGATCCGAGATAAACTTGTTTTCTCCGACCTATCAATCATGTCAAGCTTGACGTGGCATAATATCTGTTTGACGCGATCACCCCATACGTCTCATTGAATGCTTTCAGACCAAATACCTGAAAACCAAGAAAGTTTCAGAAAGATGATCAAGTCGCAGTATCATTCGAACCTGAGCACTGCCTGACACATATACATACGAGCTATTCGCTAGCTGTTGACTTCTGACACTCGAGAACCATGCGCTGTAGCAAATCGTGTTACTGCTGACGGAAAATCTCGTGACAAGGTATGGGAGTTTGTATCCCCCAGAACATCGAGAGTGTCACTTACTAGTCCAATGATTCGAAGCCTATGATGTCCGTTGCGTTTCTATCTGTGAAAGAAACCGCTTGTCCTGTTGGAGCTAAATATTGACATGCCATACGTCCTCTCCATTACCTTTTGAGATCTGTTCCGCCAGCAGAATGTCCTGAAAAGAAAGTCATCGAAGACCTTGTTCAAGAGAGGTCAAGGTGCCTCTAGCGGGTTTAAGGTACGATTCGCTGCCTGGTAGGCTTTCAGCTGGTGCCTCGCGTCGATGTTGAGATCTCCCACGAGTAAAATTCCTCCCAGCTTGCAGCGATCGCACAAGAGATGCTGTTCTTGGAGCTTCAGCCCGACTGTTTCGCGTATGTGTCGTACGATTTCAGACACCTGTGCAGAACGCTGAGTTTTGAACTGAACATTTTGACATACTTGGGATTGGCGAACACTTCTCGTGTATATTCCGCATGAATTTACCGCATAACTGGTAGGAGAAGTCAAGAGAAGGAATGAAAGTCTTGACAATCTCACCTCGAAAGGTGCAAGAAGAATGCTTCCAGTCCCATCAGCCACCAACTTCACAAGTCAAGGATCAATGCACGGCCTTGAAGCGTTAGGGACTCACTTGCGAGGCTGTATGCTGTGCAGAGTCCTTCCCTTCCCGCATTGCAGATGCGTGTTGCCAACCTTCAACCTTGACAAACGATCTGAGATCTCAAGGTCTGCAAAAATCGACCCCTTCCAAGTCCACATATCAATTCCACTCCAATCCTGCATCAGCCCGGGAGCATCAGCGGTGGCTGGAGCTGCCCTCTCATCACCGTATATGGGAGCCAGACAGCCTCTGTCAAAGGGAAGCGGCTCACTATCAGAAGTCCAGCATTCTGACCAAACCAAGGATCTGGCGGCACGACCTTTCAATCCCCGCAGATTTCAGCGACATCCCGGAGTCGAAAATGAAATTTACATGATATGTGAAGCCTTGCTCTCTCATCCTGTCCACCAGCCAACGTTGATGTCCCCATATCACAACCCCGAAGACCGACATGGTGAAAACCTTGCCGCGGACGATCAGGACCAGAAGGGAACAAACTCTTCCAACAACCTCTTGCATCGCGATCACATCGTACTTGCCGACATAGCGCACGAGATCACTCAGTCGCTCCCGCACGTTGGATGATCCCTGAGCACAAGAGAGGTCAGAGAGCTCGTCACATCTCCCAAGTTGCACCGAGAACGGCCCGTACACGTTGAAAGTAAGGAATCTTAGTGAAGGCAAGGGTCCATGCTGAGAGACGTTGACGGCCAAGGGCGGCGATGAAGGGCCAGAGACGCGAGGACGAGATGGACAGCAGGTGCTTGTGATCACAGCTAGGAGCAGCAGCAGCAGCAGGGCGACGGAGGCAGCGCGCACTAGGAGCATGCTACTGCTCCTGGAATCGTTCATTGCTTCATGATCGGGGGCGCAATTCCCTGAGGCGGACCTGCACGAGCAAACGCACATCAATGCGTTGGCGGGCAACAACGAGGGAGGGAGGGAGAGATGGAGGGAGAACGAGGGAGGGTGGAGGGAGGGTGGGAGAACGAGGGAGGGAGGAGGGGAGGGAGAACGAGGAGGGAGGAGGGAGGGAGAACGAGGAGGGAGGAGGGATGGAGGGAGAACGAGGGAGGGAGGAGGGAGGGTGGGAGAACGAGGGAGGGAGGAGGGAGGGAGAACGAGGGAGGGAGGAGGGAGGGAGAACGAGGAGGATGAGGGATGGAGGGAGAACGAGGGAGTAGGAGGGAGGGTGGTAGAACGAGGAGGGAGGAGAGATGGAGGGAGAACGAGGGAGGGAGGAGGGCGAGAGGG